TGTCTCTTTGTGTGACTGTGTGTGGGTCTGTGTGTGACTGTGTCTCTTTGTGTGACTGTGTGTGGGTCTGTGTGTGACTGTCTCTCTTTGTATAACTGTGTGTGACTGTCTCTCTTTGTGTGACTGTGGGTCTGTGTGTGACTGTGTCTCTTTGTGTGACTGTGTGTGTGACTGTCTCTTTGTATAACTGCGTGTGGGACTGTGTGTGTATGACTGTCTCTTTGTGTGACTGTGTGTGTATGACTGTCTCTTTTTGTGACTGTTTGTGGGTCTCTGTGTGACTGTCTCTCTTTGTGTGACTGTTTGTGTGTGACTGTGTCGCTTTGTGTGACTGTGTGTGACTGTGTATGACTGTCTCTCTTTGTGTGACTGTGTGTGTGACTGTGTGTGTGTGACTGTCTCTTTGTGTGACTGTGTCTGTGTAACTGTGTCTCTTTATGTGACTGTGTGGGTCTGTGTGTGACTGTCTCTCTTTGTATAACTGTGTGTGTGACTGTCTCTCTTTGTGTGACTGTGTGTGTGTAACTGTCTCTTTGTGTGACTGTGTGTGGGTCTGTGTGTGACTGTCTCTTTGTGTGACTGTGTGTGGGTCTGTGTATGACTGTCTCTTTGTGTGACTGTGTGTGTATGACTATCTCTCTTTGTGTGACTGTGTGTGTGTGACTGTCTCTCTTTGTGTGACTGTGTGTGTGACTGTCTCTCTTTGTGTGACTGTGTGTGTGACTGTCTCTCTTTGTGTGACTGGGTCTGTGTATGACTGTCTCACTTTGTGTGACTGTGTGTGGGTCTGTGTATGACTGTCTCTCTTTGTGTGACTGTGTGTGGGTCTGTGTATGACTGTCTCTCTTTGTGTGACTGTGTGTGGGTCTGTGTATGACTGTCTCTCTTTGTGTGACTGTGTGTGGGTCTGTGTATGACTGTCTCTCTTTGTGTGACTGTGTGTGTATGACAGTCGCTCTTTGTGTGACTGTGGGTCTGTGTATGACTGTCTCTCTTTGTGTTACTGCGTGTGTGGTGAACATCGCCACTCATGTGCCGTGCCGGCCTTCATAGGCGCTCCCTAAGAGCACTTGCCCCAACAGTCTGTTAAGGCTACACGGGGGATCTTTGTCTTTGTCTTGACGTTGTGTGTCTCTTCGTGTGACTGTGTGTGGCTCTGCGGGTGACTGTGTGGCTGTGTAGTTGTGTGGTTGGTATGCATCTCCTTGACTACAGATTTCCTGGCACGTGTTGCCCTTCCCAAGGGAAAAATATCCGCACACAGACACTCCACACTCATACAGATATTCACACTCGTACATACTTCAGTTTAGGCTCAGTCAACTTTCGGGAGGCCCGGTTCAAAATATTCGTCATTGTTCTTAGTTGTCAGTGGGAATCGAACTTAGGTGGCCTGGTTCGTAGCACGGTGCGCGAACCACTACAATACCGCTCCTCACTACACATAGACACAAACTCCAAGACTCGCGCCCACACGCAGTCTTACACACTATAGAAATCATACACTCATATAAACACTCACACCCACACACCGATATATATACGTATATACACACCCAGTGACAAACACACCTTCACACATGAATACCCACCAATAACACGTACACTCTCTCACACTGATTCACACACCGTATGTATGTTGAACTTCATTCGCACCGTACGTAACCAACCGGTCTATCACTGGCATACTCTCGAACACTTCTACAGTACTGACAAACACACACACACACTCGCATGCACATACTCACACTGACCGCACTCACACACTGACAAAACCACACGGACACTCGCACACACACACACGCACCGACACTCATTGCGCTGACTCTATTTTTAAAACCTCAAATCAGCGTGGCTAAATGTGGCCCCCCATGAGGCGGAGGGGAAGCGAGAGTTAAATAGAGAGTTAAATAGAGAGTTAAATAGGGAGTTTAAATAGAGAGTTAATTCAAGATTTCGCATCAAGAGGGCAGGGGGCGCATGGATGGGTAAGAGGGTGGCTGCCCCTCTGGATTCTCATAGCTGCCCCTGACTGCCCACGGTGAAGGGCCCAGAAGCGAATTTCAATCAACTACCCCCTCACCTACCCCTTTCACCTACCAACTCGCTCACCTACCCACTCACCTACCCACTCACCTATAAACTCTACCATCCACTCCCAATTATCGCGCACTCTCATGAGCCCAGTCCATCGCGAATGCGCACTGATCGCACACAGCCTGAGCTCTTTGGATTAACAACAACGCTGTTAAGTTTCTCGAAAACCTGGCTTAGACTTAAGGATGGATACAAACGACTACCGGTCACTGGGTCCAGGAGTTCGGCCGCAGATCCCGAAACTGCGCTCATCCACTCACTCACCCACTCACTCACCTCCCCGCCCACTCACCAACCCACTCACCTACTCACTCACCTCCTCACTTACCCACTCACTCACCTCCCCGCCCACTCACCAACCCACTCACCTACTCACTCACCTACTCACTCACTTACCCACTCACTCACCTACTCACTCACTTACCCACTCACTCACCTCCCCGCCCACTCACATACCCACTCACCTACTCGCTCACTTACCCACTCACCTACTCACTCACCTACCCACTCACCTACCCACTCACCTACCCACTCACCTCCCCACTCACCTACTCACTCACCTACTCACTCACCTACTCACTTACCCACTCACCTACTCACTCACCTCCTCACTTACCCACTCACTCACCTCCCCGCCCACTCCCCAACCCACTCACCTACCCACTCGCCTACTCACTCACCTACTCACTCACCCACTCACTCACCTCCCCGCCCACTCACCAACTCACCTACCCACTCACCTACTGACTCACCCACTATCATCACCCTCATCTATCTACCTGCTCGTCTAGCCACGTCCCCGTTCACCTATCCACTCGCCTGACCCCAAAAAACTCAACACATTCGTCGATACCGATGTGACCATAAATAATAAAGAGTATATAATGGGCGACGTTTCGGGCAATGGTCCTTATTCACATTACATAGAGAGGCCAAACCGCTCATCTTCCCACTCACCTACCCCTCCCCATCCCCGGCATTGCCTCACGACCACAAATAGCGGCGCGGGAAAGAGCCCATTCCACGAACAGCAGCAGCAGCCGCCGCCACCGCCGCTGTTGCCATGGTGGAGATGTTTACACGGGAAGGTTCTACGCGGCCCGCGGGCGGGCGGGCCCACTCGGGCCCACCCACCCAGGCGGGCGGGCCCACGCCACCTTTCACCAGTCCGGCCTTTCACGGGACCCCCGCTATTATCCCAGCCTTCACGAGCCCTCGTCACCTCTCTCGTTCCCACCTCCTACCGTCTCTCCCTCCCTCACCTCGTCCCATCTCCCGTCTCTCGCTCCGCCATCTCCCGCGATTCATTTACAGCGACGTCAACGAGCGGAGAGAACCCTGCAAACCATCCCCCTGCACCACCCTGCAACACTCGGCACGCCCAGCAGCACCCAGCCATCAGACAGCAGCACCCAGCCATCAGACAGCAGCACCCAGCCACCAGACAACAGCACCCAGCCACCAGACAGCAGCACCACCACCACTCGGCATCACAGCCACGCGGAATCAACGCGGCCCGTGCCGCCGTGCCGCTAGGGGGCGCGAGGGCTGGCGTGGGGTGCCGGCTGCGGCTCCTCTACGGGGACCTGCGCGCGCTCCCTCCCTCTCTCATTCGAGTGACAATTCCAGAGCTTGGGGCGAAAGCCCTTCGTCCAGCAGTGGATCAATCCTGGATGATCGTGGCTGTTTGGTCTGGTCTGGAAGGGCCACACAGCTGAAAATCGACACAGACGCCGTAGATCCGGCGTTTTAGACTCGGGGAGCCGACGATCAACATTGTTGAATGAGGGCCAACAATGAAAATACAAATGAGGCCAGGCTCAGCCGTTTATTCCAATTACGCTCGTTTACTAGCCAGCGAAGCCGCGCCGAGTCTCAAGACTCTTTTTTAAAGAGGGTCCTGCCAAACGTTCACAGTTGTTGTGCGCGCTCAGCATTGGAATGTATGGCCAATACAGTTCCACTGTGTGTGGGGGTTTAGCTGTGGGAGGAAACTGGAGAGCCTGGAGGAAACCCAAGCAGAACAGGGAGGGGGGCTACAAACTCCACACAGCAAGGCGCCCGAACCGGGAATCGAACTTATGACCGTCACCACTGCGCAAATGCTTTAAATCATACATTGGTCCATGTCTCACGCTAACATTTTGATTCACATCGTCGGTGAACCGAGTAATTGGCCTCCCGCCGAGCGGAGAAAATCTTGCTCTCGCGATGACAGTAACACAGGGATCCCCAGAACTAATGTTTACACACTGCACCAGGTTAATCATTTACGGCTAAGTCGACCTTGGGGAGGTCCAGGACCGTTTCACATTATTGTCGCTGATACCACTCCAAGCGCACAGTGTACCCCTTCAGCCACCCGACAGGACCCCCATTGCCCCTGACAGCTCCTGCCCGACGAGGGGACCCAGGGTTATGGGACCCAGGGTTTTGTGACCCCAGGATTATGGGACCCAGGGTTATGGGATCCAGGGTTATGGGACCCAGGGTTTTGTGATCCAGGGTTTTGTGACCCCAGGGTTATGGGACCCAGGGTTTTGTGACCCAGGGTTTTGTGACCCAGGGTTTTGTGACCCCAGGATTATGGGACCCAGGGTTATGGGACCCAGGGTTTTGTGACCCAGGGTTTCGTGACCCAGGGTTATGGGACCCCAGGGTTATGGGACCCCAGGGTTATGTGACCCCAGCTCCCCCTCGCTGCTGGGGAATCCGCGCGCCCCCCCCCCAACTATCCCCCACGCCCCGGTTGCGTCAGGCGCTAAAGGAGCCCGGGATGAGGGGGCGGGGGAGTGGGTAAGGGTGAGGAGGGGCGGGGGAGCGGGAGGAGAGCCGCTCACGCACGCGCCTGAAATAGAATGACGTCACCGCCAGCCGTGCCGGGTATAAGAGGCGCGCTCGCAGCGCGAGCGAGACATGGGGAGCGCGACGGGCACGTGGCGGAACGGAACCGAACCGAGCCGGGGAAAAAAAAAACACACACACACAAGTGGCACCGATCCGAGCCGAACCAGACCGAGAACAAATATACAAAACACCAGACCGGGCCGAGTTGAATGAAACCTATCCGAGCCCAACCCAGCTAAGTCGGACCGAGCCGAACCGTACCTATTCAACCCGAACCTGCTAAAAAAAATAATCGAACCTGAACCCCGAACCATGCCGAGACAAGTCAATCCAAGCCGAGCCAAGCCGAACGGGACCGAAAAATAATCGAACAGAGTGGGACTCAACTCAGCGGAACTTCACCTCCACGTGGACCCGGAGCAGGTAAGGACCGTTCATTACTTTCATTCTTGGTATCATCATCAAGAGTCCATCCACCTACACATTAACTGATGATCTTGTGGCTCCACCCACGCAGTGGTCGTTCCACGTGGACGTGATCGCTCCTTTAACTGTCATTCTGTCACCAGTCTCGTTCACCGGCCATCATTTCACCTCGCCGTGCCGTGTCCTTCCCATCGACTCACGTGTGGTGCCAGGCTGTGATTCGTGCTGTGCCCTGGTCCGCGTTCTCTTCTTCTCCGCCCATTGTCACTGTTGTTTGTGCTGTCATTGTTAACTGTTACCTCGGTAACAATGCAATATTGTTAATCTTCTTGTCAATTCACAGCGAGATGTCTGTCGGTTCTCGGGGTTGTTTGACCTGCATAGTTCACCACGTTGGTCAGTGCGGGTTTGTGAAGAGGGGACCCCAGGACCAGCCATGTCATTATCTGTACATGGACATTGCATGCACTTATTATGTGATCAGACATGATCTATACGCTGCTTGATGGAGTTCTCCCCAAGCGACTGTCTTCCCTCTCGGTATACAATGCGAGTCTTGTGTGTGTTTATGGAGAGCGGTCGTGTGATTTCCATTCCCAGCCACGGCTAACGACAGTGCTGATTGATACCTGAACCGGTCCTGGGTCTCACCTAGGTAAACTCTTAAATGAGCACCTTGTGCGGTGTGTAAACATCAGCGCTGGGGAGACAAAGGCGGCCGGGCGCGGTTTTGGCCACACCTCTTGTACCGTGTCGTCCTTCATAGGTGCTCACTAACAGCTCTTACACCAAAAGTATGTTCAGACTATACGGGGGTTCTTTGTTTGTACACGCGTGTTCCGCCGTCACTTTCACCTCTCCCCGTCTCCTCCACCTCTCTCCTCCTCCTCCTCCTCACCCGCTCACCTCCTACTCGCTCACGCGGGCGGCCCCGTCGTGTCGCGACCTGGGCGCGTGGGGTCGCGTCCTTACGTCGCGCCATGTAAACATGCGCACGGAGAGAGCGCGACAACTGTCGCGACACCGAACCTCGGAAAGATCATCCATTCTTAACCCAACTCACAGATAATTATTGCAATCTGACGTGGTCACGTGTAGAGGTTAATTGATATACGAGATGTGTGATGGAGCAGGTGAGATCCCACTGAAACGATCTCTCTAAAGGGAGACCTGGGATTAAATTAGCGCTGCGAAACATCAGATGCGACTTGGTGCAACAACCAGAAGCGCAGCAACGCAGAGATTAACAGCCTCCTCGATCTCACAGTGAAATGAACGCCAGCATGGACGATGGTCGCTGGTCGAGACGATTGACGGTGTCGCAGTCAAGGGAGGAAACGCGCCCGGGAGGACATCCACCGCGGAGATGGAGCGATGAAATAATATCGTATGCGGGCGCTTAGGTGGATTGTTACATCAACGCAGGGCCGTGATGGCCGTAGCTGGAAGAGACCTTCATTGAGCAGTGGATAAATCATGGTTGATGATGATGAATTGAGAAGCATTCCTCAACAAAGACACGAGACGCGAGTTTGCACTCCAACATCTCAGGGCAGGGTCCTCCTGAGATATGCTTTGAGACTCGGCGAAGCCCCGCAGGTTCCATTGGAGGGGGCTGCTAACCCACTGTGCAGGTTTCCGCGCGTGTGCCATAGAGCTCTCTTAAAAGCCGTGTCAATTGAGCACCGGTTTTTTTTGTACCGCTTTCATCGGGCACCTCCGACTAAAGCCTCACTCGGTTTGAGTCGCGTTCACGAGAGTTATCGTGACCCCGAGATACAAACGGACACGCACACACAGAATAATACCTTGAAACTTACGACCTTAAAATGAAAGTTAAACGAATTGGTATTTGGTGATAACAAACAAAAACAATAACACTGCGGACTTCACCAGGAAAGTAGGTACGTTTCGGCCCTTCATTAAAGCACACGAAGAGGTATTGTTATGGACAGCTATCCGAGTATTTGCTCATAATGATGTCCGACGTTTCACTCAACGTACTGGGAGTTTCTTTAGATATTATTCGCTGTCAGTTGCGTTAGGAATGGGTGATCCTTCGCGAGGCTCTGTGTCACGACAGGAGTCGCGCTCTCACCGTGCGCGTGTTTACATGGCGCGACGTTCGTATGCAACCTAACGCGCCCAGGTCGCGACGCAGGGTGAGGAGGTGAAGTGGCAGCGGAGCACACGTGTACAACACTGACACGGGTTAATAATGTGAAGGTCGGAACGAAGGGGTGGGGTGGTCAACACTACCCCCGGCCGCCTTTGTCTTTCCAGTTGCAATATTTACACATCACACCATGTAAGCACACACACACATATATACACGAAGACATAGATTATTCCATACACCCTTCAACAGACTGTTGGGGCAAGTGCTGTTAACGAGCACCTATGAAGACCGGCACGGCACACGAGGGAGTGGGTGGCCAGAACCACGCCTGGCCGCCTTTGTTTCCCCATTGGCGATGTTTACACATCGCACCAAGGTACTCATTTGAGGCTGAGTCGACCCAGGGGAGGCCCAGGCCTTGAGCGGGAATCGAACTCGGGTGTGCCGGGTTCGTAGCGCAGCGCGATACACCACCGCTCTCACATACAAATGAACACACACACGTACACAGAATAGGGTGTGCATGACGCATCATTGCGATCCGTTCATGATTAACTTAAATAATGTACACGGTTTATAAACGTGTTATAATAAAATGTGTACAACAAATTGCAGGGTTTATTTCACAGTAGCCGACGTTTCGGCAGGTTAACCTTCCCATTAATGAATTAATTCACCGCAATGATTGTCATGAACCTGTTGCTGTGTCTATTCATTAAAGTGTGCACTTTATGGCACGCATACAGTATAGTGTACTGTCGCATGTTCAACTTATTTCGCACCGTACGTACTAAACAAACTAAACACAAAAGCAGTTGTAAAGTGTATATACTGTAGTGTATATACTGTAGTGTATATACTGTAGTGTATATACTGTAGTGTATATACTGCAATATGTGCGATAAGAACGGTCGCGTCGAGGATTAGCGGCGCGTGTGGCGATGGTTTCAGTGACGAGTCTTGGACTGGATCATTGCTCATTGTTTTTCACGAGATATCATCAAGCGCGTTTATAGTGACGACCTTTGTTGCCCGTCTCATGTAAAGTTCCAGAAGCCACACGTTACGGACTTTTACTCAAATCACAGAGGCACGATTCCGTTATGGAGATCGGGGCAAACGTTGATCAACTTTTTAAAGTAAAACCACGGCGCAGTTTTGCTTTAAGCGAGTCAAGTTAATCTCCCCCCCCCCCCAATTATTAAGTGGATTGTAGTAATACACGACGTGTGGTTTGTATAGCATGCAAGACAAAGACCCCCCGTATAGCTTTGACAGACTGTTGGGGCAAGTGCTGTTAGCGAGTGGCACCTATAAAGCCCGACACGGCACACGAGGGGGTGGGTTTGCCAGCACCACTCCCGGCCGCTTTTGTCTCCCCTAGTGGAAATGTTTACGCGCCACACCAGGTACTCATTTGAGGCTGAGTCGACCTAGGGGCAGGCCCAGAACCGGTTTCAAACGATCGTCACTGGTGTTGGCCGTGAGCGGGGAACGAACTCGGTTCTGCCGGGTTCGTAGCGCAGCCCCCTAACAGCTATACTACGACATGCATAGCATGCGCGCACACATACACACGCGCACACGTGTCCCCCTCGATCACGTGTGTGCGTGATTTGTTTGCGTGCCGCTCCGCCGCTTGCAAAGCGCCGCGTGACCCGGAGCGCGGTGGAAACGGAGACTTTATCCATCGTTTGACGATGTCCCCTGGTTAGGCTCGTTCGCTTCGATGAAATGGAATTCAGGTGTTTACCGGGACAACCTCGTTTTAGTTCGGGTTGATGTTCTGATGCGGTTGATGGTATACACACCGGTGTCTTCGAGGAGCGCCGCACGCACCATGCAGTTGCGACATCCACGGCAGGCCGATGCGCACACAAGTCATTTAATGAATGGAAAATGTAAGACAACCCACAGTAGTGCGAGTGTCGGCTTGCAACCCAAACTGTGGACGATAGAGTTAAACCCTGCTGTGGTCTGCGCTCCTTCAAAGGAGAACGAAGAGCGAAAATTACACGAACTCTGCTGAAGCCCTCTCGTTATATGGCTCGCAGACCATCATACGCAAGAGTATAGAATAGTTACGATTTGTACATGTCATTTGTTTTAATTCGCGTTGTTTCGATGACAAAGGCTTTCGTTATACCATACTTTAAAACCCCACGCTGGTCCAATGCGTGTTGGTGAAGCCAGGGAACGGCAGGACTGGTTCATATATCACTCGGGACTGCTGGCGTCGTCAATAGCCGTGGCAGGCACTGCAAACTGGGGGTCGCCGGTCTCACATCGCAATGTGTGAACCACTGTGTCCGTCACCGATCCCCATCAGTATCTGGTGTCAATGTCGTTGTTTTTGTTGTTGTTCGCGCAGAGCTCCAACCGATCCGACCGCCTCCGACCCAACACCTTGCCGCCGATCCTGGCCGCCGAGCCGCGACCTCGCACACAGGACCACTGGGCCCCGACACCGCCGTGATCCTGAGGCCCCCCACTCCCCCGTGCCCCGGACTCCGCCGTCGTCATGATGCCACAGGGCCAACCCGGTGGCCCACAGTGGCCGGAGGCGGCCGCGCAAGCCGGGGGCCCCGTGTCTCCGTTCTCGCTCATGGAGGAGCTGGGCAGTCTGACCCCCCTGGTGAAGGAGGGCCTGCGTCTCGCCATCCAGAGCAAGCGCGCCGCGCAGGGTCTAGGGCCCGCGGACACCGGGGCTGGGCCATCGCTGGGGCCTACCATGGGTTCCGTAGAGACGGCGAGGCCTCGACCCTACCAGACCCGTGCGCCGGTAGGTTACGTGCACACATACATATGGTCCCCTGTACACAATACGGACACGCGCCTGTATACTACACATACACCTGTAGACATCACGCACACACACACACACACTTGTACAGCACACAAAGCTGTACAGCGCGTACACACACACACACACACCTGTACAGCGTGGGCACACACATACACACGTTAACGTTTTTTTGGGTTAGATCGCGTAAATATAAAAATGTGTCGTTAAAACCCCCCACCACCCGACACAGCCAACTAGTAAGGGTTGTCACGTAAACAGAACGTGGCCAATTCGTCACTAGTACAGCACACCGGTGTGCTGGAGAGCAAAGCCACAACATTTACAATCTGAGTACGACGTTTCGGCAGTAATTACAACTAGCTTCATCAGGCGACAGCCTTATTTGTGGATAAATCCTCCTGTTTCGTTCCTTAAACAGAGGGGTAGATGTGATGGCATCACTTGTGAGCAATTCTTGAGCGATGTGGTGGGGGTTGGGGGAGTTAGCCAAACATTTACATAACAAAAAAAACCCTGTATTATGGATATTGGTCGCAAAAGCCTACGTATTAAACATACACACCTGTACAGCGCACACACAACTCCCCTGTACATCGCGCACACTCACACCTGTGCAGCGTGCATACACACTCACCTCTACAGCATGCACACACACACGCACCTATACAGCGTGCACACACTCACCTGTACAGCGTGCATACACACTCACCTCTACAGCATCCACACACACGCACCTATACAGCGTGCACACACTCACCTGTACAGCGTGCATACACACTCACCTCTACAGCATGCACACACACACGCACCTATACAGCGTGCACACACTCACCTGTACAGCGTGCACACACGCACCTGCACAGCGTGCACACACACTCACTTGTACAGCGTGCACACACTCACTTGTACAGCGTGCACACGCACCTGTACAGCGTGCACACATACACACCTGTACAGCGCACACACAACTCCCCTGTACATCGCGCACACTCACACCTGTGCAGCGTGCATACACACTCACCTCTACAGCATGCACACACACACGCACCTATACAGCGTGCACACACTCACCTGTACAGCGTGCATACACACTCACCTCTACAGCATCCACACACACGCACCTATACAGCGTGCACACACTCACCTGTACAGCGTGCATACACACTCACCTCCACAGCATGCACACACACACGCACCTATACAGCGTGCACACACTCACCTGTACAGCGTGCACACACGCACCTGCACAGCGTGCACACACACTCACCTGTACAGCGTGCACGCACACTCACCTGTACAGCGTGCACGGACACTCACCTGTACAGCGTCCACACACTCACCTGTACAGCGTGCACACAGTCACCTGTACAGCATGCACACAGTCACCTGTACAGCGTGCACGCACAAACGCACGTATACAGCGTGCACACACTCACCTGTACAGCGTGCACACACTCACCTGTGCACGCACACGCACTTGTACAGCGTGCACACACTCACCTCTACAGCATGCACACACACACTCACCTGTACAGCGTGCACACACTGACCTCTACGGCATGCACACACACACTCACCTGTACAGCGTGCACGCACACACGCACCTATACAGCGTGCACACACTCACCTGTACAGCGTGCACACACACGTACCTGTACAGCGTGCACACACTCACCTGTGCAGCGTGCACACACACGTACCTGTACAGCGTGCACACACTCACCTGTACAGCGTGCACACACACGTACCTGTACAGCGTGCACACACACACACCTGTGCAGCGTGCGCACACACGTACCTGTACAGCGTGCACACACTCACCTGTACATCGTGCACACACGCACACACACCTGTACAGCGTGCACACACTCACCTGTACAGCGTGTATACTGTATGTATATTGTCGGCTTGTGTATACTGTATGTATACTTGTTAGTATGTATGCAGTATATAGTATATATACTGTCTATAAGTATAATGCATGTATATTGTCGGGGTGTGTATAGTGCATGTATGTTGGTGTGTACTGTATTTATACTGTATATACTGTATGTTTACTGTATGGGTATGTGTATACTGTATGTATACTGTCAGTGGGTATGTGTTGCGTGTGTACTGAACATGTACTGTCGGTGTCTACTGTACGTATACTGTCAGTGAGTTCATGCATACATACTGTATACTGTATTCATATACTGTATACTGTATTCATATACTGTATACTGTATTCATACTCTGTCAAGGTCTCGGCTGAGGAGGAGGAACGGAGGCAGCGGCGACGGGAGAGGAATAAGATGGCTGCGGCAAAGTGTCGCAACAAGAAGCGAGAACGGACGGAATGCCTACAGCGGGTGAGGAGGGGGACAGTGACCCCATACCCCCGGCCTCTAACCCCATACAACTCGACCCCCTAACCCTGAGCACCACATTTCCGGGAGGCTCAACCAGGACACGTGGTGAGCCCCCCGCCCCACCCCGTGCTACCCCCCCCCCCCCACACTACAAGCCCCGCCTACTTTGCAATCGCCCCACCCACTCGGCAACTAGCCCCACCTGCTTTGCAATCGCCCCCGCCCACACGGCAACTAGCCCCACCTGTTTTGCTGCAATCGCCCTGCCTGCTCGATAACTCTCCCCCTCCGCCCACTCGGCAGCTAGTCCCGCCCACCCGGCAACTAGTCCTGCCCACTCGGCAACTTGTCCCGCCCCTCTCTCACCTGAAGACGATTGCTGGTGTTGCGATGGAAACGTGATATTTTTATTGTTTTTCTATCTACGTGGCTTTACCAAAAGACCCATAGAATACTCTTTGGTTCTTTCGGTAAAGTCACGTAGTTAGTTACAAGCGACTGCTTTGTGTTGCGATCGAAACGTCGTGATTTGTTTTATTTTTTTTCTAACTACGTGACTCTATATTCTTGGTTCTTTCGGTAAAGTCACGTAGAAGGGAAACAATAAAATAATAAAAATATGAAACAATAAAATTATCACAACGTTTCGACTGCAACACAAACAATCATCATCAGGTGTGAAAACCACAGCAAGAAATTTTGAAAAAGTGGCGTTTTTTTATTTTTTATTAACGTTAGCACCACGGAGAGCGATTTGGCAGTTATTCAGATGGACGAGTCCATCTATGTTCGGAAAAGAGAAGGGGGGAGACGAAAAATAATGGATGCGGTCTGAAAGCCACCGTAAGCATGAACAATCAATTAAGACCCAAAATGGTTTATCAAATCCTTCCAATGATTACTAAGCCAGAATCCATCTTCTCGGTTGAAATTGTCTCTGTGTTTGTATATGTGGATAGCCTCATGAACGAATCTTTCATGGTAGCCAGATGGCTTGCAAAGAACCTCTGTCTTGGAGAAGTCAATGTCATGTGAGCCTACTGACTTATAACAGTGATCTGCCACAGCCGAGGTGTTGGTCCTACCGTGTTTTAGGTCTGCTTTGTGTTCACGAATGCGGTCCGAGATATGTCGTTTGGTTTCTCCAATGTAACTACTACCACAGAGGCAACTTAGTTTGTAGACGCCAGGGTACTGTATGTCCGGAATCACATCTTTTACAGACGGAACCAGATCACGGATTTTATGTAATGTGTTGAATCGGACCTGGATCTTGTGTTTATTCAAGATTTTGGAATTTTTTTTGTGATCCCCGCAATGTAGGGTAAAGTGATGGTTTTGAAAGGCTCCTCAAGAGGGTTCTTCTTCATGGTTGGAGTGATAGCTTTGCGGATTGTGTATGCGGAGTAACCATTAGCCTTAAGAGCTTGGTGGACGTGCTTGAGTTCACTGGCTATGTGTTCCTGGTCGGATATGCATTGGGCTCTATGGTGCAGAGTCTTGATGAGGGAATTCTTCTGGGATGAATGGTGATGGGAATCCAGTTTCAGGTAAGCATCCGTATGGGTAGCTTTCCTGTAGACAGAGTGGCTCATTGAACCATCAGGTCTCTTTTTTTATTAGGACATCCAAAAAAGGTAGCTTGCCATCTTTTTACGTGACTTTACCGAAAGAACCAAAGGGTATGGATTCCTGCAGCCACGAAAGCTTCAAACCCATACAATAGTCCCGCCCAATCGGCAACTAACCCCCACCCTGCTCGACAACTAACCCCGCCCACTCCGGAACTCGTCCAACCCACTCGGTAACAAGTCCCTCCCGTTCGATATCTAGCTCCGCCCACTCGGCAGCTAGCCCCGCCTCCAGCTCTGATTCTGGCTGGCCCCATCCACTCCTCAGGTAGCCCCACCCTTTGCCCCCCCCATCATTAAAATATTTATTACGCTTTCAAGGGCCATTACCCGAAACGTTATATACAGTAGAACCCCTCTTAACAGCGGTAATTGGTTCCACGAAACCCGTCGTTAAGTGATTTGGCCGTTAAGCGAGTATAGGAAATACACGTTAATGGCCTAATTCGTATCGATAACATAGAAAGTTACCATTTTTCACCCAAAAAACCGGACTTTATGATATTTAAACAGTGGATATTAATACATAAAGATACTAACAACATTATAAACACATAATATAAAAACACGGCAAATTAATGAATGAATTAATCTTAACTATAACTACAACAGCCCGTCGTTAACAGGGGAATGGTCGGGAAGTGAACACTCTGGGCTCTATGGAGGCCCGTCGCTAAGCGATTAGTCGTTAACAGGGGTGGTCGTTAAGAGTTGTTCTACTGTATTTCCTTTGAAGACCACAGTGTTATTGGACGAACGTATTGAGGTATTCATTACCGTGCGGATCAGTGCATCGTGAACGGTGGTGGCAGCTTGGGGAGAGAGGCCCTCATGTACCAATGGATAGATTTATTGATTGATATACCCTTCCCCTCTGACCCCCCCCCCCCCCCCTCTGCCCCAGGAGTCGGAGCAGCTGGAGGCACTGAACACGGAGTTGCGCTCACAGATGGAGGCGCTGCGGCGGGAGCGGCAGCAGCTCGTCTTCCTGCTGAACCTGCACCGGCCCACGTGCATCGTGCGCGCGCGTCACGGTGGGCACACGCCCGAGGACGAACGCGCGCTCCTCCTGCATGTGCTCGCCGACAAGTGACATGTACCGATGGCGGAGTGGTGGTGACACGAGGACACGTGGGGACACGTCAGGACACAAACTGGGACTCATGGAGACACGTGGGGAGCCTGAGACACGTGAGGACACGTGGAGGAACTGGGACTCACGGAGACACGTGGGGGCCCTGAGACACGTGAGGACACGTGGAGGATCTGGAACATGCGGAGACATGTGGGGGACCTGGGACTGGTAAGGACGTTTGAGGAGCTGTGACTCGTATAGACACGTGGGGGACCCGAGACACGTGGAAACACGTGGGGGACCTGGAACTCGTGAAGACACGAGAGGAACTCGGACTCGTGTAGACACGTGGGTGACCTGAGACACGTGGGGGACTTGGGATTCGTGAGGACACCAGAGGAATTGGAACACTTGGAGACACGCCGGGGGACACACATTGAAACCTGATGCAAGTGGAAAACGCTGTGGAGGCCTAGAACATAGGAATCGAGATGTAGATACCCATGAGGCAGCCGGGACACATGGGCACCTATTGAGAGGGCTGTGTGAAGTGAGGACGTTAGAGAGCATGCCTACATCATGCGCAGAAACCCGCGGTGATGACCGTCGCCACCCGCCAAGCTAAATAACTAAACGGTGGATACTGGGGCCAGTTCAGGCCTTGGCGCTGAAACGCCCGTCCTAAACGAGCGAGCAAAGGGCCTGCAGTCTGGCACATACTTTGACCATGACCCATGGCGAGAGAGACAAATGACCGAGAGGCTGCGGTTAGGTTGTGGGAAACTCACGTTTATTCAAGTAACTTTTTTTTTTGCAAACCGTCCATGACCCGACTCTCAATGAAAGCCAGCGAGGGGTCCTAGCGCATAACTGGGCACCGCGGTGCTTAACCACTGGCGTGGGGTCACTACGGCGAGCGGACCCATTCCGCGTCTATTTATTCCATTGTGTGTGTCGTGTTTTTCTATTCCATAGTCTGTATGCGCTTCAGTGTTTGTATGCCTCGTCTGCAAGTGCTGTCATCGTCTCCATGCATTTGAGCGTTTGATCTTCCACAATGGATATCCGCTTAAAATCTATTCCAAATAATGTGTGGAGTGTTTATTTTCTTTTTCCCACAACCATCCTTATGCGGTTGTGTTTTTATTCCATAGCAGTGTTCATCTTCTGGGTTCTTTCGGTAAAGTCACGTAGAATGGAGATAAAATAATAAAATAATAATAACAGAATAAAATTCTCACGACGTTTCGGCCACAACACAAGTAGCCTTTTTTTTACCTGAGGAAGGCTACTTGTGTTGTGGCCGAAACGTCGTGAGAATTTGATTCTGTTATTATTTTATTATTTTATCTCCATTCTACTTGGTGACTTTACCGAAAGAACCCAGAAGATGCATCCCTGCAGTCACAAAAGCTTTAAATCGAGACATAGCAGTGTTAAATTTTGTATTTAAAGCTTTCGTGACTGCAGTGATTCATATTCTTGGTTCTTTCGGTAAAGTCACGTCGAAGGGAAACAATAAAACAATAAAATATATATAAAACAATAAAATTCTCACGATGTTTCGACTGCAACGCAAGCAGTCATCATCATGTGTGAAAACCAACGGCAAGAACATTTGATATATATTTTATTTTGATTTAAAGCTTTCGTGACTGCAGTAATTCATATTCTTAGCTCTTTCGGTAAAGTCACGTTGAAGGGAAACAATAAAATATATATAAAACAATAACATTCTCACGACGTTTCGACCATAACACAAACGGTCATCATCAGGTGTGATGATGACCGTTGGTTTTCACACCTGATGATGATCGTTTGTGTTATGGTCGAAACGTCGTGAGAATTTTTATTGTTATATATATTTTATTATTTTATTGTTTCCCTTCAACGTGACTTTACCGAAAGAGCTAAGAATATATATTTTATTGTTTCCCTTCGACGTGACTTTACCGAAAGAAACCAAGAATATACAGAGCAGTGTTGTTCATTGCAAGGCCCAGGGAGTACTGACGGCCACAGACGTGCGGAAATACACAAATGTAAATACACCCCAATCGTGCTGCTGTCAAACCCAGTGGATTCAAGGTTGTTGGCGGCCCTCACACTGACACGGCGAAATGCCCTCTCCTCTTCCTCCTGCTCTGTGAAGAACACTGCCACATTCTGTTACGTCTGCATTGGTATAATTGAAACCAGATGGCGGGACCCTCGGGGTCAAGAATAAACAGAAGTAAAACAAAAAAAAACCTTAATTAATTAATTTATACTCTTTGGTTCTTTCGGTAAAGCCACGTAGGTAGAACCAAACAGTATGGGGTTTCCCTGCAGTTCACGAAAGCTGCAAATTAAGATGAATTAATTTACTCATTGGTGACCACGTCCCACCGCGCACGTCAAAACGCCGAGGACCCCACGTGGCGCGGATTATTCATGTTATCATGCCGTGATAACATGAATAATTGCCAAAGTCGTGAACTAAAGCTCTGAAACCTCGATTAGCCCATCGTGGAGAGCTCGTCGAGAGGCACAGATCGCCCCTTGTCGTTCGCCTTCAACAGACGTGCAAATGACGTCGCAACGCAGTTTATACGAGGCTCATGACATAAGGTTCATTGGCACAAATCTAACCGGTCAGGTTGGCGCTCTCGGCTGTAGAGTGAGCGACTCGCAATCAGAAAGTGTTGCGAGTTGAAATCCTGATTGGTGGAGGGGTTGATATAGCCCCATCATTCCTTTTGGGGGTCGATAAAATCGGTACCACTTTGTTGCGGGGGGGAGCCGGGGAGTCAACAGATGCACTACGAACGGACTCGCCCCTCGGGCATAGGAATGTGGAACTTCCCTCCACCGGTTTGTAAACAGGAGTTGAGCACCGGCTCATCTGCACATTATTGAGAAGCATTAAATCGCTCCTCGGATCCCCGGCAGTCGACAAAAGCGGCGTGAAGTTTGGCCACAAAACCACAACGGGGCCGCCGACTGCCCCGGGTGTGATCCTGGCATCTGGCGTCTTTGTCGGGGCGCAAGAATCGATATGATACAGTACCACCGATGTCGGCGTCTGCAGTACTTGATCACAGTAAACCGCACACGTTTGAATCTTCATTCACCGAGGTATGAGATGAATCCGGGTTTTTGCTGCATTCGGCAAAAGTTGGCGACGCTGATCAGCTGTCACGGCCCCAGCGGAGAAAGCGAAGCACGCATCCAGCCGTGGATCGACACCAGGGGGGCTGCAACGTCCACACGTTAATTAAGGCTTAATTAAGGCTTAATTCCGTGGCGAACGTGAATGTGTGTGCTTCCGTGATGGGATTATTATTATAGACTATAGAGTGTGCAGGGAGCGCAACTTGCGCAGGGGGTCCAAGGGTCGAACGACAGCCGTTCGCCATTCATCGGCGGCGGCGACTTCACCACGGCGCTTGTGCCAGGCTAGGTGCACCTTGAGGCTACCACGTGAAGTGGAAGAAGTCTCTTGCTGTTGGTAAGCGGTCACGGGACAGGTACTGTTCATAGTTCATAGTTCATTTATTTGGTATAGCCCTGTGAGCCATTCGGCTCTTGAATCGGGTGCAACCGCAACAAACAAAAAACATGAACAAGAAAACATCTTAAAGTGATTATGTGACTGTGCAAACAGAAAATACAGGAAAAAAATATCAAAATATTCCTGAAATAGCACCGTACACCAACGCTGTGTGCAAAAATCCCAGTGGGATGCAAGTCAAATAACAACAACCACAAGACAACTAAGATTAAGGCCATCAGTCTAACTCCGTACTACAATAAACAAAAACATGGCCAAAACAAAAAAAACTTTTCGAAATCACCAAAATAAAAGCCATAAATCCAATGTAACAGTGATCATAAAGACTGTGACCGAATTTTTAACAATAAACTACACAAATAAATTATAACACCAAAATCTACAGCCATATTTTTTGTTTGTTGCGGTTGCACCCGACTTAAGAGCCGCATGGCTCACAGGGCTATACCTAATAAATGAAACTTGATATTTTAGGCCACTGAATAGCAGTGGCAGCTAGGGGTGTACAACTCCTCTAGAGCAGTTTTGAGTGAAGATCTCATAGGTAGTGATTCAAGTTGCAGTTTATTGGCAATAGTATTCCAGACCCTGGGGGCATCAATAGCAAAGGCCCTTCCTCCGGTTTTTATACGGCAATAGGGAATGTGAAGCTGGTAAATGAGCGAAGACCTGAGGTCAAATTTGTTCTTTGAAACAGAGAGGAGATCCAGTAGGTAGTCTGAAGAAGCTGCAAACCCTTCTCGCCGACAAGCGCCGGGTGGGGGGGGGGCACGGGGTGGCACGAGAACAAGTGATTGACATGGTACAAGTGAGGGCACGAATTGGTACTCGTGGAGAAACGTGAGGGACTCGTGGGGGGGGGGGGGGCTGCCCCTCTCGATAAGTGTCAGTGGGTCGACTGAGCCCAGCACCACGGTGGTGGCGGGGCCTCACGAGGCGGCCATAACCCCCTCGAGTCTCCCTCAGTCGCCGCATCACGTGACCCGAGGCCGGCTCGTCAGTGAACCCTGAGAAACGTTCAACCGCCGCGCACCAGGCGGCGGCTTCCGATTGGCTCGCGATTTTCCCGCGCGAAGCGTCGCTGCGTCATGTCACCCCCCCCGTCCCCGTATGCGCGCACGCGCGACCAAGGGCCGCGGTGACGTCACCATCTTGATCCTAAACAAAGGCGTCACTGTCAAGGCGCGCGCGTGCTCCTTCGCCACACCTCGGGCATTGGCTCCGCGTTTCCCCACACACGCCGACATCGCGCGATGAAGTGCCCGCGCGACGCCGTGTCGCCCCGTCCCCACACACTACACTACACACGAGCGAGAGATGCCTCGACGTCGTGTCGACTGTCCCGCGCGATGACGTCACGCTACTCCTCGTGCGCGTGACGTCACGCCCCAGCGCGCTCCTCCATCTCGTGACTCGGCGGGGGCACGCGCCGCCATTTTGCTGGGCGCCTCGGGGGAGGAGGAGGTGGTCGCGAAGGCTTCGTCCCCCCTCTTGGACTCGTTCTCCATCCTTCTCGGCGCTCGTTGTTCCCCTCGAAGCCACCATGGTGAAGCTCTTCGTGGGAAACCTGCCGTCCGACACGGAGCCGAGCGCGCTGCGCGAGCTCTTCGAGAAGTACGGGCAGGTGAACGACTGCGATGTGATGCGCAACTACGCGTTCGTGCACATGGAGAAGGAGATGGACGCCAAGACGGCCATCCAGCTGCTGCACAAGTCCAGCTTCGGCGGCAATCGCATCAACGTGCTCTACTCCACCACCAACGTGCGCAACGCCGTCAAGGTATTCGTGGGCAACGTGGACCCCTCCGTGACCACGACGCAGATCAAGGAGCTGTTCGGCGAGTACGGCCGCGTGCTCGAGTGCGACATCGTCAAGGACTTCGCCTTCGTGCACATGGAGCGCGGCTCGGCCGCCGAGGACGCCATCTCCGCCTTGCACGGCAACTTGCTGGGCGGCCGCACCATCAACGTGAAGCTCTCCGTCAGCCACATGCACCGAGGAGAGGAGGGCGGTGGCGGCTACCGCAATGGCGGGCCCATGCCGCCAATGCCGCCGCACCATCACCACCACCACCCGCCTCCGCCGCCTCCGCCACCGCCGCCTTTCGTGGCTTACCCCCTACCGCACCCTCACCACCTGGGCTACGGGCGGCCCTACCCGCCGCCACCTCCGCCACCGCCTCCTCCGCCCCCACCGCCGTCGCACCTGCCGTCTCACTTGGCGGGTGGCTTTGGGCGGCCTTATCCGGGCATGGGGCCGCGGCCCGGCGAGCGCGGCGGCTTCTTCGACGATCGCTTTGGCGGCTCCCGAGGGCGGCCCGCGCCGCCGCTGCCGCCCGCGTACGCGCCCGACCCGTACTACGATCGCCGTCCGCTGCCGCCGCCTCCGCCGCCACCCCGAGACCCCTACTATTACCGCTCGGCCGGGGCTAGGGAGCGCAGCCCGCTTAGCCGCGGCTTCGGCGCGTCGCTCGGGCCTTCGGCCGGTCCCGCGATGTTCGCTCGGCGCGCCATGAGTCCGGGCCCCTCTGCGCGCTACCGCCTCGGCTCGAGCCTCGACCGTGACGACGCGTACGGCCGCTTCAACGGGGATCGCAGGGGCTACTAGCGAGAGGAGTCCTCTGGGGCCCGACGGGTCACTCACGCAGGGTCCATTAACGAGAGGAGCTCCTCACCCCCCCCCCTCGCCCCGCTCTCCCCTTCCTCGTGGCGGCCTCTCGGGGCCCGCACTTGCGCGGCCGTTCCCCCTTCATTCCGCGGCTCCCGGAACCCCGGCTAAGCTGAGAGCGGGGACCCGGGATCCCCTCTCTACCCTTGTGTTTTAACGCGTGAGGCGATCGAGGAGGAGATCGTCACGGAATCCCCGCGGAGACCACCCCCCCCCCCAATCCACACTCCCCCGCCGCTGTTTGTTTTGTTGGAGACCGGGAAGAGACTCGCGGGTAAAGGCGGCACTGGCGCGGCGCGGGTCTAGGGATTCGCTCTTGTTTCTCGTGAGAATTGCGTTTTATCTTTCCGATCTTTCCGTAGTTGCAGTGATTTGTCGGCGGATGTTCTTTAATAATTTTAGAAGATACCTTGTTTAATATTAATACTACATTCATAAAAACACTCGCGAGTCATGGCGGAGGTAACGGATAAAAACAAACGCTCGGCTCGGCCCTGTACGCGCTGTTTGTAATAAACTCCATCTCCCGACTCTTGGACCCGGCCTGCTCCGTCTCGCTTCATCGTAAACCGGCAGCGGCCCCAGGGCCCCCCCGTGGGCCTCCGATCTCGCGCGACCCCCGGGGCCCTAGACGCGCTTCCGCCGACCCCGGGCATCGAGTAGCAGCAGCAACAGCAGCGGTGGCGGCGGCGGGGACCCGAACCCCCTAGGGGCGCAGCGGCTGGGCGGACGGGGGGCCTCGGCCGGCGAGGGTGCGAGGGAAGATTGGAGTTAGGGGGTGAGGCGGGCCGAGAGGCACAGGTAAGGAGGAGGAGGTGGCAGGTAGAGGCGTGGGGTGGTGCTGGGGCCCGTGGATAGCGCCTGCCCCTGTACCCCCTCGCGCACGAGCTCGCTCCCTGTGCACGGCGTGTGTGGCGTGGCTTCGTGGTACTGTGTTGGTGTGGTACGTGTGTGCTGTAGGGTATGGCAAGTGCTGCAGGCCTGGTAAGTATTTGCATGTGTGATGCGTGCGTAAGGTGTTGGCGTGAGGGTGTGAATAATGGCCGTGTGTTGGGTGGAATACGTGCAAGGGTTTTGACACGTTTGGCTCTCAGGTGTGATGGCTTTGTCAGGCGTGGTGACTGACATGTATGGCTGTCAAGGTAAGGTATGATGGATTTTTCAGATGTCTTGGGTGCGATGGGCCCCAGACCAGATACCTCACTTTGGTGCTCGTCGATAAAACTGAAAATAATACTTTGCACATTTGTCTATATGGCCAATAAAGGCGAATTTTGTGATAACCGTTTTTCAAATTAGTGAGTTACCGTATAGTAAGCCTTTTAGAATTGTCAAGACCAATAATTCTTGACGTTTAAAAATTAAACTCTGGGGTTTTTGGTATAATGGTTTCATTTGCAGGACTTAACCCGACCTCACAAGCCCCCAATCAGCTCTTCCCCTCAGCAGCTGCAACGTGAAATTAAGGAAATGTACCTTGTGCACACACTTCACGTTTTTTCTTTAAACCGGTTTAACCACTACACCCGCATAAAATGTACCCAAACTCGGAGGCGCCCACATGCCAAGGGGCAGCAAAAAGGAAATTCGCAATTTACATGCAACAAACACCGAACCCTTCAACATGTTATGCTTGCTGCGACCCTTGGAATTTTGTCAGCCCCATGTATGAGTGCACGCAAGGTCTGATCGATTCCCGCTCACGAAAGTGGCGAATATTTGAACCTTCTGGGTCTCCCCTAGGTCGATTCAGCTATAAATGAGTACCTGGTATGATGTGTGAACATTGCCATTAGGGAGACAGCCGACCAGGCGTGGTGCTGGCCATCTACCCCTTCGGATGTGTCATGCAGGCCAACAAAAGTGTTTGCTAAAAGCATTCTCACCAGTCTGTTACGTTTATACGGGGGGTCTTTGTGTGTGCCTCGTGGTGCGTTCTGCCTGACAGGTGGTATAATGGGAATGGTGCCGCAGGGGACTGTAACACTTATGGTGTTGCGCTGGGGCTGGGTTTTTCACGAATTGGTGGTGTTGGGCCCATTACATTTAGGCGGGTGTAGGTAGTTATGTACTGTTTTATCGTGGCTATAGTAAACGTGACCAGAGGTCTTTAAACCTTATACCACAATTTCTTAAACCACTCAATATTGTGCATATTGCCGTTTTATCGTGGCCTATGAATTAATGTAACTTAAGTTGTACTAGCACCCTAATGAACACACTATCATATAGTTTTAAGTTTAAAATTTGTGTCAGTTTCCCACGGGTTATTGTATTATTTTGACTACCCTTGTGCCCAAATATTACGGCTGATCTGAGAGATTCCGCTCATCACCTAAATGCCACGGCTGCTGATGGAACAGCCACTGGGGGTCCGAGGGTTGGGGTTTATGCTCTGCCACATTGCCACCAATCACTTTCTTTGAGCATGTGAAGAGATCGGTACCATGAAATGTATCCACCTCGTGGCCCGGTGCAGCATTAAGAGGAAGGTGTGTAGGCTCCCGTTGCAGGTGAACTGCTGCTGCCTCCTGGCTGCCGGGGCTGTTGGTTTCGGGTGTAGATCCCAATAACAAATATACCTTTATCAATGCACTTTTGGATGAAGGCCCTTCCCATGCCATTTATTCATCACACGTGTATAACCATATTTGACATTGCACGTCGTGAAATAGTGAAGGAAGAGGTTGTGGGGAGTGGCAATGACCTGTTCAGATATCACCTGACACTAATGGGTTTGACTTGTGTGTCAGGTGTGATTGGTCTGATGGTTTTGATTTGTGGCTGGTGTGCTGTCATCACACCTCCGATTAGCGTGGTTGGCGACGTAGTTAGAAAGAAGTTCAACATAAATATGTATGTGATGGTACACGAATTGTGGCACCACCACTCCACTCATGGGAGGTTTCTCATGTGATCCAGAGGCTGTACGCCCCGGCTGGCCCTCACGACTCGGCACATGTTTTCTTCGATCTCCCAGTGGCAAGCACATAACCAGGTGCCTTAGGCAGCACCCAGCAGGTCCCAGTCTCTTGCAACAGTCGGGGTGGCCCTTACCAAGCCAAACTCCTGTTCCTGATGGTGGCCACAGCTCCCCTGTCATGTGGCCGCAGAGCCAACGTTATCGGTCACGTGTGCCCAGTGGCCAGTCCACGGAACGCGGGACATGAGGCAAGTGGTGGTGGGATGGCGATGCCGGGGTAGCCACCATTCAATACATACCGTGAGCTCATGGCTCTGCGCGTGTCGGCCGCTGGTGGAGGGGTGGTGGGGGCCTTCTGGTGCTATTGCATTCATGATTTTTTTTTCCTGGCCAGGTGGTGACAATGCAAAAAAGTGCCACAGCAGAAATTCAATTGTATCCATTGCTGTGGGCTTTCATTGTTACCCCTGTGCATGCATGGGTTTTCATCATGTGCTCTGGTTTTCCTCCCGGATGAAGCCAAACAAACACTTGTTTTTGGATTTAGCCAAATATCCCAATGCAGACCCCATTTGAAAATGTCTTGAGACAGTGTGACTTTACTGGTTAACTGAGGACACTTATGATATTTTCCATATTTAACTAAAACAGCTGTGTTGGGTTGGGATGTTGGTGAGTGGATCTTAATGAGCAGATCTCGAGTGAGAGTGGTGAACGAGAGTCGTGTGTTTGTGAGCGAGTCTGTCTTGTTTGTCCTGATTGCCCTGTTGCGCCTGTTAAGGCTGCTCACTTCCTCCTCTCAGTCCCTGCCCATGGCATCATGGCCCCACAAACGCGACCAGTGCCATTGTGAGAAAAGCTGCTGGAAAACACCACTTCCGCCAATCACCGTGGGGGAATTAACCTCAAATATGCACCATCTTCACAGTGCATGTTAGCAATCCTATGACAATTCGAGGAAGAGTGTAGGCCATTGTGTTGTATGTATGTTGAACTTCTTTCGCACCATACATAGTCAATCATGCTAATCGGAGGTGATGGGCCTCACGGTACAAATTTGAGAAATCAAAAGTATTTTGCAGAAAAGGCGAAATATTGCACCAGGGGAACTTGCCCTGAGTGACAAATAGCACCACCTTGCATTCAAAGGCAGTTGCCCCCCTCCAAAATGCATTGTTGTGCCCCCTATATACTCTGCTCTCGGCAACCACCTGTGTTTCCGTGTCTCCTACCTCTAACTCTGCTGCTGCCCCCATTCCTTGTGTCCCCTGTGATCTCTGCTTTCTGATCTCCTATTTTGGTCTCTGGTCCCCCCTCATCCCTGCCCTCTCAGATCTCACATGCAGGGTGAGGGCGGGGATCGTGGTGAATGTGCTGAGGAGGTGCCACGACGGCGCTGAGAGGACGAGCAGCAGCCGGCACACCTCAGCGGTGCGACTGCATCACGAGGAGATGCGTGCGGTGCCGTGTGTTTCAGGGGAGGCTGCCTATCGCAGCTGCCTATCGCAGCCTCCACAGGACACTGCAGCCGCTGGGTCTGGTCTGTTGGTTTCAGCCACCCATTTACTCTCACCCATTTACTTATACCCATACAAACCCATTCACAGCCTTAACAAACTTGGTTGGAGCAAGTGCTGCTAGCGAGCACCTATGAAGGCTGACAGCACACAATGGGGTGGGTGGCTAGCACCACCTTTGTCTCAGCAACGATGTTTACATATCGCACCAGGTACTAATTTGATACTGAGTCGACCTAGAGGAGGCCCAGGAATAGTTTAGATTGTCACTAGTGGAAATCGAACTCATGCACCGGATTTGAAGTGCGGCACGCCAACCGCTACGCGAAAGCAACCCCCTTACACCCACTCACACCATTATACCCAGAGCCCTCAGAACTGTTCCCACAATATGTCGGAGCTCACCCTTGGATTCTGTTCTCATCTGCGGGGTCAGAATCATGGCTGAGAGCTTGGTCCGCAAGCAGGGGAGTGCGGCTCCTTGCAAACTTCCCCTCGGACTTGGGGACTCGACTCTCACCTGTGGACTCGTATCCGGCGTGTCCTCCGTGCCAGTTGACACCCTTTGCTTTGTTCCATAGGTCAGCGCGGTTAATCACCGCAAGATGCTCGCGTAGAGCGCGTGCAGGTTCAATTGCGCTCCATTTGCTGGAGGGCGCAGCGTGAGTATTGGATGATGTTTTCGCTCGGCTATTTCATGAATAAAGTGGAAGAAAATGCTGCTCCTCATGTCTGCATTGTTGTGAGTGGTGACACGGCCCGCTGTGCAGGGGCTGTGTGATGGGGGTGGTGCTATCATCTGTTGCAGATGTGGTTGCACTGCGACTTGTGTGAACTGTAGCTGCTGTGTGCGAGCTGTGACTGCTGTAGCGTACTCGGCAGTGTAGTTTGTACTCTGCCATAACTGTGCTGTAGCTCGGTCTGCAATCTGGCTTTGCACTGTTGTGAGTTGTGCTCTGGCTCGGCCGGCACTGGTTGTGCCGCATTGAGCTGCATTGCGCGTGAGTGATCGGTAGATAGCGCTGTATCCACGGGGGCCAAGTGTAAACATTGACACCGATGCAGTCTACAACTGCGTAACCACGCAGTATACAGTACAGTGAATAATACCTTACACGGGTTTTATTTAAGCGCGCACTTTCAATGCTGGCCGGCGAATGTTCACCCTGCTTGCCGTGAATTAAAATAAAATTCAGTTTGGAAAATTGATAGAATAGTTGAGTGTGTTTACCCTTCCAAATAACTTCCACAGCTCCAAAGCTTCATATGTCTAAGGGGAGGGAAATGATGGAATTAGCGTACATCTACTTATATAGCAATGAAATCGGCTTGTGTGTGGGAGCTGGGTATATTATTAAACCGCGGGATCACTAGAAATGGCTTGGGGAGACTTTCATATCCAGCAGTGGATTGATAATGGCTTGCTATTGTCGACAAAATTTATGATGAAGTGATTTTAGTTTACAACAGAGAAGATACCTTCACGTTACCAGGGATCTTCACAGCTACGTTACAGGGTATGTTCCCGACATGGAATCAGAGATGTGGAGTGCAATATGTAACATGGGGTACGCGTTCATAGCGCAATTGCTCTCGAGAAAGCACAACTACACGAACTCACGTGAAGCCCTCGTCCGTGGCCAGCAGAGACAATGTCACTCGAGCTTATAAACCATTCACAAGAACAGAGACGATAATGTCAATGATTGATGGCGTACCCGTAGCATTGAGCTGCAGGGCAGGATGAAAGCGCCGTGCAGATTGCGCGCGTCAGTTATGTGGTTTCGAGTTGAACCACGTTTACTGAAAAAGCTGCCAGCGCATGGGAGTGAAACGTCGGACATAGTTCATAGTTCCATTTATTTGGTATAGCCCTGTGAGCCATTCGGCTCTTCAATCGGGTGCAACCGCAACAAACAAAAAACATGAACAAAAAAACATCTTAAAGTGATTGTGACTGTACAATCCAGGAAAAAACCTCAAAATATTCCTGAAAAAGCACCGTACACCAACGCTGTGTGCAAAAATCCCAGTGGGATGCAAGTCGAACAACAACCACAATACAACTAAGATTAAGGCCATCAGTCTAACTCCGTACTACAATAAACAAAAACATGGCCAAATAAAAAAACGTTTTCGAAATCAAAATAAAAGCCATAAATGCAATGTAACAGTGATCATAGGGATTGTGACCGAATTTTTTAACAATAAACTATATAAATAACATGTAACACCAAACCCTAGAGCCGTATTTTATGCCAATGAATAGCAGTGGCAGCTATGCCGAACAACACAGCGGTAGGTACAGTCCGACAGCAGCAATGGACATGTGTAGGAGAAGGCTGCACATCTGGTCTCTAGATGAATTCGGTGCAAAAGGCAGGCAGAACCAGTTCCCTCGACTTCGTCTTGGAGGGACCCAACCGGAGCACAGAATCGGATTCATACCCGAGGGCATTTGCTGAAGGCGAACCAGAATCAATGAACCGTGAAGAGACGAGCCGATTGCAGGATGCAAAAGTGGCTCGACAAAAAACGGCGCTGAATTTGATCGCGAAAGTCGGAGGCCACGGAACTCAGGAGGAAATGGAACAAGCGGGGAAGGGGGTTACTCCCGTTTAGGGAACGAACACAAATCGCGGACATCACCCTCGCCAATGAGTCGGGGAAGTGAGCTCGGGACAGGAAGCCTCGAAGCGATTTTGTGAGTGTAGCTTGCGTAACTGTAGCTCGAGTGAGTTGTAGCTCGCGTAACTGTAGCTCGAGTGAGTTGTAGCTCGAGTATGTGTATCTCGAGTGAGTTGTAGCTCGAGTGAGTTGTAGCTCGAGTACGTGTGTATCTCGCGTGACCGCGCACGCTTCGCGCTCTGCGCTGCGAACCCGGCCACGTGAGTCTATTGAACAAGTTGAGTCATAGGCGAAAGATCAGGATGTGGCGAGCGGCTGCCAGGGGTTGGATGAGTATGATGATGACTCGGCATCAGGGACCCCCCCCCCCCAGAGTTCCTGAGAACCGCACCGCCTCTACCCGACCATTATTTGTCCGCGTGTGTGAGTTTGATTACGAGAGAGGGAGGTGGGGGAGGAGAGATAAGATGGGGAAAGGGGACGGTGATGAAGAAGGGAGGGGGAGGGGGGCGCAGGAGGAGTGGTAACGGGTGAGAGAGAAGGGGAAGGGAGAGGTCAGAGGCGAGGGTGGAGGGAGTGACACATTAACTGGGCTCACGCTCGCTCCCCGATAACTCGGAGCGACTCGCAAGCTCAAAGCGACACAGTCCGAGACAGCGGCGGCGGCGCCACCACCACCATACAGGGCGCGTCCCGTGGGTGACGCACAGGGCTCTGACAGCGGAATCATGAGGAGTGTCCGCGCCGCCGGACCTCGAGCCCAGAATCACCATCATCAGCTGCTGCTGCTGGTGGTGGTAGTAGTGGGGCGTATCTCTGCGTGTTGGCTTGAGCCGCACTCCGGCTACGTCTCCTGTATAAACATGAATCTCAAGGAGCCGCCTCCTCGGGACTCCCTCCCCGCGAACACCACGGAGCTGGACATCTCCTTCAACAACATATCGCGCCTCTCCCGCGCCTCGCTGCCGCCGCTGGCCTACCTCCAGGTGCTGCTGCTAGGCCGGCAGCTGCAGGGCCTGGTGGTGGAGGACCTGGCTTTTGCCGAGCTGCCCCAGCTTCGCTGGCTGGACCTCGGAGGCAACCGCCTCCTCGTCCTGGAGCCCCGCGCGCTGTGGGGTCTCCATCGGCTCGAGAAGCTCCAGATGGACTACAACGGCCTGGAGGATGAGGTGCTGGAGGGCGACTTCTTCCGGGACCTCACCTCCCTGCGGGAACTCGACCTCACCGGCAACAGCCTGCAGCGCGCACGGCTCAGTGGGGTCTTCCTCTCCATGGCATCCTTGAGGGTCCTCAAGCTCCGCAGCAACACAAAGCTGGAAAGTTTGTGCGAGGGAGACCTCGCGGCGCTCTCTGGACTCCGCCTCGAGCTGCTGGACCTGAGTGACACTAGGATGTTCCAGGACACGGCTTTTAACTGGACAGAGTGTGGAAACCCCCTGCGCAACCTCTCCTTCGGCCTCCTGGACATTTCGAGCACCACCTTTGTCCCCAGCAGCCTGCAGAATTTCCTTGAGAGTATTCGCGGGGTTCCCATAAAGGCGCTAAACTTGTGTTTGCTCCCCAACATCGGCAGGTCCTTTGCATTCATGAACTTCAAGGAACCGGTGCGGGAGTGGTTCTTGGGACTGGAGAAATCCGGCGTGGAGGTCCTGGACTTCTCGAGGAACCGCGTCTTCTCGCTGCATCCACGTGTCTTCAGCGCGTTCCCTGCCGTGCGCTCCCTGGATGTGAGCAGAAACAAGGTGAACGAAATCGCGCCGGGCGCCTTCCAGGGCCTCGAAAGCCTGGTGTTTCTCAACCTGTCTTACAACCTGCTCGGCGAGATCTATGAGAGGAGCTTCAAGGACTTAGTGAACTCCCCGCTGGACAGCATTGACCTCAGCCACAATCACATCGGCATCATCCAGAACACCGCATTCGCGGGCTTCCCACATCTCACCATGTTGGACCTTAGGGACAACTCGATCCTGCAACTACCGCAGCTAATGCTGCCCTCGCTGACCTACCTCATGCTAGGTGACAACCGCCTGAGTAACCTGTATGGCCTGCAGACCATGGACAAGAGCCTCGTGTTCCTGGACGTGAGACGCAACCGGTTGCATAACCTGGGCGAGGTGTGGAGGGCCATGGCGTCGCCACGTGTGCAGTTCCTGCTCTTTGAGGGTAACGTTTTAAGGGACTGCCCACCCGAGGCCACCCCGTGGAGCCCAAACAATAGCCTCGTCTACCTGGACATTAGCGGGAACACGATGGAGATCGCATGGGCCAGTGGCCACTGCACGGACATGTTCCACACACTGGGAGCACTGCAGAAGCTCTACTTGGACAGAAACCTGCTCACGGCTCTGCCGGATGGGCTCTTCCTCGGCCTGAGCTCACTGCTTAAGCTCAACTTGTCCAACAACCACCTGAGCAGCGTGAGTGCTGCCTCGCTGGAGCCTCTCCGCAGCCTGGAGGTGCTGGACTTGGCATGGAACCGCCTCGTGGTGCTGGACCCCATGGCCCTGGGCCCCTTGGCCTTGCTACAGCTCCTGGACCTGCGCGGGAACCCATTCCACTGCACATGCGCGCTCATGCCGCTCCTTGCGTGGCTGAACTCCTCGGCGAGCGCCGCCGTGGCCTCCTTTCCCGACGCCCTCCGGTGTGCGTCTCCGGCCGAGCTTCAGGCGGTACTGCTGGTGCTGCTCGACAGTCAGGGCTGCGAGGAGGAGGACCCGCAGCTGGTGCGGCACCTGCGCCTCTCGCTCCTCTGTGCTTCCTCCTCTGCGGTGCTGCTCCTCCTCGTTGCCACGCTCGGCCACCGCTGCTGCCGCCGCCGCTTCTACCACGGCCTCATGTGGCTCCGTGAGCTGCTCCTGACGTGGGAATGGGGAGCGACTCCTAAGGCGAATGAGAAACGTGGCGGTGGTGCAGAGTTTTATTACGATGCCTTCGTGTGCCATAGTGAGGCAGACTTCCCGTGGGTCCGCTCTGAGCTCCTGCGCCGCCTGGACTTGCGCGGGGGTCGCGGAGGCCCCCTGTCCATGTGCCTGGAGGCTCGCGACTTCGTGCCGGGCGAGGCCCACATGGACAACCTGGTCCGCGCCGTGGACGCGAGTCGCTGCACGCTCTGTGTGCTTACACGCCACTTCCTGGCCGACAGCTGGTGCATGGAGGCCCTGAGGCTGGCGCAAGGTCGCGGAGGGTCCCTTGGGACCCGCCATGATGTGCTCGTGCTGCTGCTGGGCTCCCTGCCCGAGTTCCAGCTGCAGAGGCATGGGCCCGTGAGGGCCCACTTGCAGGCGGGCCGGCCCTGTGTGCGCTGGCCCGAGGACCCACAGGACCGAGACTGGTGCGCAGATTTGCTCTTGGTGACGATCAGGGAGGGGGTACCGTGCGAAGGCCCCCAGGGGGGTACACGGTTCCGCATGCGGTCCCTCAGGGCTGTGGGACCCCCCACGTGAAGGTGGGGGAAGGATGGGGGAGAGGGGAGGGGGCTTTGCCTGGAACCACCAGAATCAGAATCTTTATTTAGACTGGAATAATCTAGTGAGCTATGCAGCTTTTTTTCACAGATGTCCAGTAGGGGCAGATCAGACAGTTTCAACAACATTATACATCAACGTATAGGAGTGTAAAGTACAGGGAAGCCAATCAAGTCACTAAATATAAATTGAATAAAGTTTATAAGTACAAATTGCATAAGTACATCAATTCCTGCCGATTTTTTCAACACCCAATGCAATCTTGGACAAGGCAGCAAAACCAAAACAATCCCAGACCACCCCAAGACAACACACAGTCCCTCAAGAAAATTGCACATTAACATTTTATTATAGATACATGGGGAAAGTTCAAACTTACATATCAAATTGGCAAAATTTTGTAGTATCCAGCACTAATCTGCTTCAGCATTTGTTAAAAGAACATTTATGATGTTAAGGGAGGAAACATGGTTGTTCCAAAACGTGGTGTTGCAACGACAAAGGCTTTGTCACCTATTCCAATTCTTGTTCTTGGGACATTTATAAAGCAATTATATGGACGTCTTAGGTTTAGTGGGTTTACCAATGAGATGAATTCGCTAGGTATGGCACAGATTTGTCAATCAGGATTTTATGGATTAACAGGGCCCAATGTAGATGTCTTCTTGTATCTAGTCATGTGAGATTGGATTGTATTTAGAGGTCACAATGGTGAGTCTATATGGTACATCCAGTATAAATCAAAGAGCAGAATGATAAAGCGGGTTTAGTCTGTTTAGTGATTCATGAGCAGCTGAACTGTAAGCAGTGTCACAGTAGTCAAAAAGTGGTAGAATGATAGCTTCAACAGTTTGTAGGTGCAAACGAATGGGAAAACAGTGTTTGTAGCTTTATTATAAAAACACATTTTGTATTCGATTTTCTTTGAGATGTCATCTATATGACGTTGGAATGTAAGCTTTGAGTCAATCAGCAAATCTAAGTACTTGATACAATCCGTGTTAAATTATTATGTTTCTGATATCCGTAATAGCTGAAGGGAATGAAATTGGATTTTTAAAAATATATAAAAGAGTATGATATTCCTTTTTTGGGGATTTAGAAACAATTTTAGTCATGAAGATTGATATTGAATTAAGTCAAAATTGTGTTGGAGATTCTATTTGACTTCGTGTGGAGATTTACCTGATACTAGCATGACATTATCATTAACAAAGATATTTAATTCTGAGTGATTTAAATTTAGTCCAAGATTGTTTAAATATAAGGAGAACAGAATCGGACCGGGAGGCGCGTCTGTGTGTGGGATTGTTCAGAATTATCCACCACTGCGCTCGCTGAGACACACATAGAGACACAGACACACACGTGTACAGATACACAAATAGAGACACAGACACGTGTATATACACATATACACTGGTCTAAAGACACGTGTACATAGACATGAAACACGGGCACTTACAAAGACTCCCTGTATAGCTTACACAGGTTGTTGGGGCAATTGCTGTTCGTGAGATGCACCGAAGAAGGGCGGCACGGTGCACGAGTTGGCGGTGTCACCAGAACCACACCAGGCCTCCTTTATCTCCCCAGCCCTGATGCTGATGATAGACGTAGCAGGTACCGTACTCATTTAAGGCTTAGAAGGTGCGTGCGCGGCGAGTCCATGTAAATATGCGATGAGCGCTGCTACAGCTTTCGCGCATTCCGTAAGCTCAACGCGTCTCATTCAAACGTATCCCACTGCCACCGCATTCGGCGTTAATTAGGGATGGTGTGAGACTGAGAGTATTTTCCGGAGCTCAGTCCCGGGGCAGCTCCGGCTGACATTAAGCCCTGGTGTTACCGGTCAGGTCAGCCGAGTAGTGGCTTAGCGGGTGCAGCTGCTGCCCCCCACCCCCCGCCGCTCCGGGTTCCGCGGCAGAGAATCCGCTCCGCCTCCCAGCGACCGCGAGAAATCCGCTCCTTCTCTCGCGCGGGGAGGAGGAGGAGGGACCCAAAACACGGAGCGGAGCCACGGCGCCACGGAGCATGGAGCCTCGGAGCATGGAACTCTGCGCCTCCAGCAGCTCGAGAGGGAACGTGAATGGGCATGCGGGGAGTGTGTGTGGTGAGGTAGAGTGTGCGGTGTGTGTGTGTGTGGGTACAGTACGTGTGCGAGTGTTGGTGGGGGTGAGCGATTGGGGGATGAGGAGTATGAGGCAGGCTGGGTATTATTGTTGTGACTCCGCCAGAGACGACTTGTTTACCTGCGCCGAGCTCCGGGGTGGCACGGGGACCCCACTTCCGTCTTTGTGCCACGTGGGTTCGTAATGGCCATCCGTCGTGCTCGCGCTTTGTATTTAAATCAACACGGCCACGGTGGAGGGGGGAGTTAATTCCTCACCCAGCGGGGGGGATGGGTGGGGGGGCAGCCACTAGCCACCCTCTTCTGAGAATTAACCCGACCCCAGCTCCCTCTCCCAACTCCCCGTGCCAGCTCCCGCCCAAAAAACCACCCCCGGGGTCCCCCTCCACCCACGAGTCCAACACCACTCTCCCACGGTGCCTCCCCTGAAAGGTGTTTCTACTTTATCCACCGCGAACTTTGATGATGTGGGGCCCCGCGCTCGGTGGATGGAGGCCAGCGCCGCGCTGTTGACGTGCGGCGCGTATCGAGTTTCGTGGCGCGGCACAGAGGCTGGGGCCCACGACGAGGAGGACGCCGCCGCTGCCGCCGCAGGCTCCGTCCGCAGTCGTCGTGCGGGGTGGTCCCCCCTCCCTCCCCCATCCCCGTGCCCCCCCATCACCCGCCGCCCTCGGTGGTCCGGCCGCAGCGTCGACCTCGCGGCAGCTGCGCGCCTCGGCGCACGGGGAACGGAGTTGAGGTCGCCGCAGCGGTAGCGGCGGCGGCGGCGACCACCACCACCATGAACCCGCCGTGGATTTCTGGCTGCGTCACTGCCGCGTTGATCCTCGGGCTGCTGGGTCGGGGGCCCCGGGCCGCGGCCAGGCCCACTGAGGAGACGAGGACGCGCTGCTCCGCGCCCGACGAGGGCCTCCCGTGGCCTTTGCGTAACCCGTGCTTCCTCACGTGTCTCCGAGACCACTACTTCCCGCACGCGATGGAGTCGGAGCGACTGAGCGCCTTCCCTCTGCGGCCAGGTAACAACGCTGACTCCGAACCTACCGACCCCCGCGCCATCCCTCCCACTCTTCGTATCAGCTGCCGGGGGTGGGAGTCGAACTCTGTCTGGTTCAGGTCGGAGCTCTTGGGGTGCTGTGGTTTATGAGGCCCGAGGCGCCCTGGGGTTTCGTGGGGGCACGCGTTATTTGTAGAGGCGTTTTCAATCGGTGCATGATTCCTGCTGGTGTGAGATCAATTCCTGCTGATGTGAGATCAGTTCGTGAAACGCAGACGCTGGCCAAGACGGAAAGATAAAATGTGCGCGAAGATTCACGGAGAGATGCACGTTTGGAAAGACACTGCCAGGCAGATGGAGGGACAGCAGGGGCATGATATTGATTGTTAAGGGAAGTTCGTGGGGCGTTGTGGGCAGGGCATTTCAGGTTGCGGTTGCAAGAGCCACATGGCTCACAAGGCTTTCCCTAGTAAATGAAACTGAAAAGAGACCATGGCCGATGGTAATTTTATGGGCAGTCAGAGATCAGCTCAGGCGTGAGATAGATTATGACATTGCAGCACTGTGAGGGATGGTGGCGGCTGCGACGTCAAGGAGGCTTCATCCAGCAGTGGATTAGATAATGATTATGATGATTATGTTCGCGGGGGTAGTGGTGATTTTGACGATTGCACACCTGACCCGGGCCTCTGTCCCTCCGTGATTGCAGCAGCAGCAGCAGCATCACGTGTATTAATAGCGAGCACATGGATACTAGGGCCCTGATGCCTCGCGTTTATAATTAGGGTAGACCCCGGGCTCCGACCTCGCGAAACATCATCACCCGCGATGGCCACTATGAACCGCCCGCGTGAAAGGCGCAGCGCTGTCTCTCTCTCTTTCCATCTACCAGGGGACCAATATAATGTAGTGCAGAAAGTAGGATGGCGTAGGGAGGGGGACTCGGCTCCCCGCTGTGCTCCACGTGGTGATGTAGATGGGAACACACAACACGTGACGTAGGGGGGACGACTAGATCCTAAGGTTCCTGTTCCTGGCCCCCCACCCCCACCCTGGTTCCGGCCAGACCCCCTAGATCCCAGAAAATCCGCACCTACGATTAGCCCGGTTGGCTGCGTAGGGTGCGAAAGAGGCTCATCATACATAAAACCCCTCGACTTCTTCGGCCCTGCATACTAAGCACCTGGTACTAGGCCCCCTACTCTTTCTTATGACCAAGTCACTGGACACGCCCGATCTCGTTCAGTCTCAGACGTCAAGCCAGATTGCGCCTTGGTGGGAGACTGTCCTGGAAAACGAGGTGCTCTAGGCTTGGACTGCCAGCTACTCAGGAGATGTCAGTACAGGAAGTGATTCTTGAATCCAAGTTTTGAGCTACCACCTCGTGCACAGCACCGCTGGTTTTATTCAAGTTTCTCCTGTTCACTCCCACACGAAGCCACTAACTCACTGATGTAATTAATGGCAAAGCATCCACAATGTAGGAGTAGCACCCTCATGACAGGGAGTCTTGAGCCTCAGTCTTCCCTGGGTAAAACAGTGGGCACTGACACTACCCTGGTGCACAGTCGTTGGGAAGAGCACCAACATCCATTGTCTCACTTTACCCCATCTTCCCACTCCCGCACTGAACAGCGTGGTGAGGTATCTTCAAGTAACCCCCAGGACCTGCAAGTATGTACGTATGTTGAACTTCTTTCGCACCGTACGTCGCCAACCGCGCCAATCAAAGGTGCGGGAGGGATGACAACAAACGAAACGCGAAAAACAAACCACGCACGGCGTGAGGACGCACGCGCTCGTCCAGTAGCCGACTGACAAACGGTCCGCGATTGAGCAATCATCATCGTCACGTCGTCCCGAGACAATGCATTGGGATCTCCGTTCTACTCTCGTGAGTGACGGCAGCAGCAAAAATGTCCATTAGCTGAGACGCACATTGTGGAGGTCTCCTGCGATCCACGACGCGAGGGTTTCGTGTAGTTTTGCTGTTCCTCATCCGTTGAAGGAGCGCAGACTGCAGGGGTTTGCTATATATGTGGTCCATAGTTTGAGTTGCGTGGTGGCAACTGAATCTGTCACAGAGAAATGCAAGACTTTTTGTTAGAGAAACGGCCTGTGGGTCCCTTAAAGTGACCGCCAAACAGTCGAGGGTGGAACTTACCCATCCGCCCTGCATATGAAAGTAATGTTCGTCGCATGATAGTCGACTCGACAATAGATCATAACAGCAGCTGGAATTCACACGAATTAAGTGCAGAACAAAATGTTATTCTGATGGGGATATGTGCATTCATTGGCAACCGGGTTGAGACGATCACTTGAATGTCCTGTTCTTTACCAAAACAGCACTGTTATCAGAGTTATTCAGAGTTGTAATGGAGCGAGGTTATTGTTATCGGAGCTGGGGGAAAAAGAGACTACGATGGTCGGGAATTCCAAAGCGAAACAATGCGAATGATCATAGAATTGTTGTGACCTGTAGTGTGGTGAGTGCGCAATTGTATAAGAGGGTGAGTGGTTGAGCGTGTGAGTGAGCGATAGCGACCTGCAGTGTGGTGGCTGAATATAGACGAAACAGTGTCTGGTAAACACGAATCCTCAACATGGGTGGGGGAATGGCCGGTTTTATTATATGCGGCTGCCTGGATTAGAACCCAGAAGCTCCGTGGCGCTCTGGGCCCCTCGCCCACCCTCCCCCCCCCGCGGTGCGAGTTCCTAACGAGGAGGCTGCGGTTTCCCGCAGACGCCGCTGGCTGCTGGACCCTGAACGCGGCCCTGGTCGCGACGTTCGCGCATTCGGACTGCGCAGCGCGCGTCCTCATCCATGCTGAGTTCGCAGACCCGGGCTGCGCTTCCCCTCGCGGGGGGCCCTCGGCCAGTCTGGCGCCGCCCCAACCCAGCAAGCCGCCGATGCTGGTGGAGGCGACCGGGGACCCTGGTGGGACCGCTCTTCTCCGCCCGCAGGAGCACCGCGCGGCATTGGACCGGGAGCGCTACTGCGGCCACGGCTACGACGCCACGGGGGTGTTTGCGCTGGGGGCCCCGATGCGCGTGTGTGGGCCCTGCGCGCCCTACAACTGGACCTTGCCCGGTGCCGAGTGCGAGAGGGGCCCTTACCCCCCGGTCCTCTGCGGACCCTTCATCACCGTGCTTTGGGGGGCGTGCCACCCCGCAACCTCTTGTGTGCCGGTCGTGGACTAGGGGAATCACCCCGCGTCTCTATCTCCAATGCTGGACTCCGGACTCGGGAGGAACAGTGGGGCCTCTTGGACATGGGGGCGGAGGCCCCAGTGGTACCCGGGGGGGTTTCTACAAGTGAAGCACAGGGCCCACGTGGCTGCTGGAGTTGCGCCCCCACGCCTGTGGGATAGTCCCCTCCCCCCCCGGTCCCATGGTGTGGTTTTGGTTGAGGAGGCGACCTAGAGTTTGTGGTTGTATTCGTGATGGTGGGGTACGAATAACAATAATAATCTACACTGCTATTAACGCCTTTCATCCGGAGGTCACCACGTGGCAGGGTGAGAGGTGGTGCGAGGTAACTTGAGGCGAGAAGCTTAAGGGTGCATGGGGTGAGAGTTTGTCGAGGTGAGTGTGGTGAGCAGCGCTCCAGTTAAGCTGCACAGTACGTGGTTATGTTTGACAATTAATGAGTGCGATAGTGACTGCACGGCGATGCTGCTGCAGCTGAGCTCGCATGGCAGAGGGAACAGAATGGAGCAGAGGGAGGAGCGGCCTCATGGCCCTCACGGCCCGGGTTCATTTGGCCACACATTCCTCTAGGCTACAGCGGTAGCAGTCGTTCCTTGTGAAATACAAATCATTTTTATATATATAAAATACTGGTTTAAAAAAATGATCAAAACGTTGCTGAAATATTCTCATTGAAAAACTCTGTCGGGGCTTTTTTTTTTTACAGACCTCGCTCTTTGCACGGTAGTTGAACAGGAGGAGTTGAGTGAGATCGCAGTCACCATGGCTCTGGTCTAGCACTCCTCGCGCTGTGTTGATCCAGCTCGCTCAGTGCTGTACAGTAACGTCGGGGTAACGTCGGGGTCACGTCGGGGTCACGTCGCGTCCTAACCCTGAAACTGTTAACATCCATCCCTCAACACACACGGGAGCTCTTGTCTGGAGCGCTCGAGTTACGACCCGGGGTGAGTGGGGTGAGCGACTCCATCAAGAGATGTTCTGGGTGAGTGAGAGGGGGTGGCTCGGGGTGTGTGGTGAGTTGGAGATGAGGGGCGAGAGGGCCGGACTCACAGAGACTCTCGTGCCGGTGTGGAGTTCAGTGTTGGGCTGGCGATTTATTTGCCGCTTCATGCCTATTTCCCCTTGCCACGGCTCTCCCTGGATCACTCACAACACATTCCTCACCATCACCCTCCCTGCAATGCACTTTAGACTGAGGTTCCTCTGGGCCGGACTGTAGACGCGTCATGATTCTCCCACGTTGAGTTGATTACCGCATTCATCGTCGTCTCAGCCACTCGTTTGTCTTTGTTTTTGCCCGACCCATTGTTGGCCTAGGCGCGAAGTGGACTTGGATTCGCTGCTGTCGCTGCTGTATCTCTGCCGTATTGTGGCAAGTTTCCGATTTTTAAGCCCAGTTGCGTATTTTATTGCCATATTTCCATATTTATATTCATCGCATTTGCATTTCCTTTTATTGTTTATTCGCTAAAATGTAATCATGATTTTAAATATTAATAATTTAATGGGTTGAGAAGAGGTTTTCCCCTTTTTTCTGGAAACAAAACAGGTGTTAAGATGTTAAAACACCAAACTGAAACCTTTTACAAGGAATCGTGTCTGCATTAACCACAATACTTGTGGGCAGAATGCAAACAAAAAAACATACTCTGATAATATTTGTATTGTCTTTGAAACTGATTGGTCCACACCAGAGACAGCTTTTTTTTGAGCCTCCTCTCAAACGGTGAGGACGCCAAAAGAAAGCTGTCACCGTTTGAGACGAGGCTCAAAAGAAAGCTGTCTCTGGTGTGGACCAATCAGTTTCAAAGACAATGCATATATTATCAGTGTTTTTTGTTTGCATTCTGACCACACAAGTATTGTGGTTAATGCAGACATGATTCCTTGTAAAAGGTTTCAGTTTGGGTGGTTTTAAGAGCTTAACACCTGTTTTGTTGCCAGAAAAAAGGGGACAACCTATTCTCATATTTTGGTACTGACAAAGGAAGTCCCATAATTTAATGTTTTTTTCCTCTGTCTCTAAAGTTTCAGTCGTGACGCGGTCCCATTGTACGAGCGTGACGTCATTGCCCGCATACAAGACGTCATGTGACGGCACTTATGTCAGGGGGAGTGCCGTCATGTGACCGCACTGGACAGGGGGGGATGACGTCACTCCCGGGGGATATTTTTCGCGATTCCTAAATGTTTAGTTTCAGTTTATTTATTTTGGTATCGCCCTGTGAGCCATTCGGCTCTTGAATCGGGTGCAACCACAACAAACAAAAAAACACGAACAAGAAAACATCTTAAAGTGACTAGGTGACTGTGCAAACAGAAAATCCATTAAAAAACAGCAAAATATTCCTGAAAAAAACACCGTACACCAAGGCTGTTTGCAAAAAATGCCAGTGGGATGTAAGTCAAACAACAACCACAAGAAAACTTAGATTAAGGCCGTCAGTCTAACTCTGTACTACAACAAAACAAACATGTCTAAACCAAAAAACGTTTTCTAAATCACCAAAAAAATAAAGCCATAATTGCAACATAACAGTGATCATAGGGATTGACCGAATTTTTACAATAAACTACATAAATAACATGTAACACCAAATCCTAGAGCCATAGCTGGCTGCATGAGTTACTCCACAACAACAGAAGCATCAGTCGGAGTATCAAATTTTTCAATGCACCTTTAAGATCAGCACGCTAAATCAAAATACAGATAATACTTTGCAGCGTCATCCGGAGCGAAACATTTAATTTTACGCCAATTAATAGGAATGGCAGCTAGGGGTGTATAACTCCTATAGAGCAGTTTTGAGAGAAGATCTCATTGGTAGCGATTCAAGTTGCAGTTTATTGGCAATAGCATTCCAGACCCTGGGGGCATCAATAGCAAAGGCCCTTCCTCCAGTTTTTGTACGGCAATAGGGAATGTGAAGCTGGTAAATGAGCGAAGACCTGAGGTCAAATGTGTTCTTTGAAACAGAGGAGATCCAGCAGGTAGTCTGCGGATATTTTTGTAAGTACATCGTGAATAAATAAGATCTGGTGCACAAGCCGTCGAACATTAAGAGATGTTAAGTTTTACCCAATGTAGAGCTCAGTGGTGAGTCCTATATGGGCAGTTCAATGTAAATCTTAAGGCCGAGTGATAGATGGAATCAAGCTTCTTCAGTACAGTACTTGGGGCTGATTTATACACGATGTCACAGTAGTCAAGTCGAGGTAGTATGATAGCTTTTATCAATTCCAAACGGAACATTGGGGGGAAGCAGTGCTTGTGTCAATACAGAAAAACTATTTTTATTTTTGTCTTTTTACCAATATAATCAATGTGATCTTCAAAATTCAGTTTTGAATACAGGATGACCCCAATATACTTATAGATCTTGACTTGCTCTATTTGATAATTATTTAAAGAATGTAATTGGGGAAAAATAATTTCCTGCTTTAGTCCTGGTGAGAAGCATAGCACCTTGGTTTTGGAGGTATTCAGGACTAGTTTAAGAGCAACTAGCTGGTGTTGTAGTTTGTTGAAATCACCCTGTAGCTTAGCAATCACGTCATCTGGAGAGCGGCCAGCAGTAATCAGTATCGTGTCATTTGCAAAAAGATTTACCCTGGAATGATCCAGGTTAGTGCCCAAGTCATTGACATAAAGAGAGAACAAAAGGGGGCCGAGGATGGAAACCTGTGGAACCCCTTTTATTACCTTAACACTGTTTGACCTCCAACTATCTGTGAATACGAGAAAAGAGGTAATTTTGTAACCATTTTACTGCGTTTTCAGAAAAACCGAGGCAACTTAGTTTACTAAGCAGGGTGTTGTGGTCTACTGTATCAAAAGCTTTGGACAGGTCTAGAAAAAGACAGGCACAGTACTGCTTATTATCAAGGCTACTGTAAATGTGATTCAGAGAGTCTAATTCAGCAGATGGGGTGCTGTATTTTTTTCGGAACCCAGATTGTTTTAGATGTAGTAGATTGTTGATGGACAGGAAACTGCTAATTTGGTAGGTGCGCGGATTTGGGCCGAATCCAAACACTGACAGCGCGTCCATATGCTGATGTTGCTGCTTCTGTTGCTGCTTCTGTTGCTATTGCTGTTGCTGCTACTGTTGCTGCTCCTGTTGCTGCTGTTACTGCCCCTGTTGCTACTGCTGCTTTTGCTGCTGCAACGTCGCAGATCTTGCCGCAGGCGTGTTTGCCGCTATGTCCGTAGCTGCTCTGTCGTTGTCTTTAGTTTAAACCAACATATCTTATATTCGTTTTTATACAAACGTTTTTAGTGCGCTTTGTGGTGATGCACGTGAGCAGAGGGTTTTTGTGTGTGTGTGTGTTGGAAGGCTGCTGCTGAGAGGCAGAGGAAGCATACGTGGGGGATTGCTCCATACGTATGGTGATGGATGGGGACTCACTTGTAAAAGGTGGGGAGGGTCCTGTTCCCTCCGAACCCGAGAAGCGGTGAAGAGCACGGAGAAAGGGAACCTGCCGAAGCTGGGGGGTCGGGAGCGGGTTAGGGGTTGAGCTAGTACTAGTGTCTGATTGGCCAGTTGGGGTTAGGGCTAATAGTGTGTAGTCGGCTGGTTAGTTTTGATGTGGGGTAGGACCAGCACTAGTTTGGGGGTCGGACAAGTCCGTGTAAAATTGGTTGATTGGCTTAGGATCGACGGTAGGAATAAGAACCCACTGTTGGTTGGCTGGGAGTATAGATAACATACCTGCTATAATCACCCATGAATGTCTGTCCTTAACGCTCGTGACGTCACTCCACATCGAACAGCCCCCCTCATTAATAATCATAAGGTGACGTCCTCCAAATGGACCCCCCCTCATTCATAATAATTAGCGGCTGACGTCACTCCACATGGGGGGGCGAAGCGCCTCCTCCCCCCTCCTCGGCATCAAATAACAAACCCTCACTACAAAGGCAGAACGCGATCTCCGTAACGCTATTGAGACATCAAAGTAAAAAGGACGTCGTGATGAACAAGTGATTATAACCTTTAAATGAAATAGGTCTGTGTCACCGCGCCTTTGCAAATTGCCCACGCATTAATGTAATGAATATCACGTTGCGGTCTGCTTTTCGCTTGCAAGTTTCAGATTTACTGGACGGACAAAATGCGAGTTCGATAATATTCGTGTCTGGATGATTAGGCGTAGAGTTATTTACCAGTGTGTGCTTGTTTAAGGGTTGATTAAGCACGCAGCCTCCTTAGTTGACAGATAGCGCGTCTAGTCAAATAGCAGAGAACTTTGCCCAGCACAGCCTCCACATTCGGACTATTTCAGTCATGAGTCTTTGGCTTCGCGTGGCAGGAAACCGGAGAAAATCCACCACGCATACGTGGGGGTTGAATTGCGCACAAAGCTCTGCACAGATGAGTTTGAATAATTAGTTTCTGGTTTTCCACCTTCTGGCCACCTTGCACCCAATAATAACTAGAAAGTATTTTCTGTATTTAAATATCGTTTAAACGCTGCAGTGGATCTTGCGGGAGCCGTGTCACCCAACGCGGACCTTCGTGGGGCCCTGGGGAAGGGGAAGCAGCGAGGGTGGCCCGGGGGGCCCTGTGCAGGTTGTGAAGAAACGCAGATACGCCAAAGGGGCCAAGGGTTTAGAGAAGACGTCACCGAGATTCATCACTCACACACACACGCACGGAATTATACAGATAATTAAAAACACATACAATTGCGATATTGAGTTGGTGGCGATGCACAAATAACACCAAACGCAACATATTTGTCAATAACGCTGCCCTAGAGAAGGGAAGCTATATTAGTTGACCTTTCGCGCCCTTCCTCATACCAGAGCCAGAGAGAGAGGCCACAGAGTCGTAATATGGGGAGGGTCCCCGTGAGAGGCGACAGTCGTTCACAGAGTAGCATCCCCTGTCAATCCCACACGGTTTACCCCCCCCCCCCCCGTATTATTGTATGGAGACATTGAGTTTTCAGGTCCATACGGCGTATAGCCGTTTCAATACCGGCAACAAAAACTTACTTTTGTCCGCGTTTTCTCCCTTTGTGATGGAAATTTGTAGGATGAATGTTGAGATTTATAAGGGTCACGTGGTGACCAATAAGATCTAAATTGGTCTGCAATAAGGTAAGGGGTTGACAGGTAATGGAGCAGGTGGCACCATTCCACTCACTGCGAGCTCGCAACTCGGGACTGTAGAGCGATTTTCGTGAGTTGTGTGCTGCGTTCTACACGGTTCGTGCTGCGTTCTGCACGGTTCGTGCTGCGTTCTGCACGGTTCGTGTTGCGTTCTGCACGGTTTGTGCTGGGTTCCACACGGTTCGTGCTGCGTTCCACACGGTTCGTGCTGCGTTCTACACGGTTCGTGCTGCGTTCCACACGGTTCGTGCTGCGTTCTACACGGTTCGTGCTGCGTTCCACACGGTTCGTGCTGCGTTCCACACGGTTCGTGCTGCGTTCTACACGGTTTCGTGCTGCGTTCCACACGGTTCGTGCTGCGTTCCGCACAGTTCGTGCTGCGTTCCGCACGGTTCGTGCTGCGTTCCGCACGGTTCGTGCTGCGTTCCGCACGGTTCGTGCTGCGTTCTACACGGTTCGTGCTGCGTTCCACACGGTTCGTGCTGCGTTCCGCACGGTTCGTGCTGCGTTCCGCATGGTTCGTGCTGCGTTCCACACGGTTCGTGCTGCGTTCCACACGGTTCGTGATGCGTTCCGCACGGTTCGTGCTGCGTCTACACGATTCGTGCTGCGCTGTTCGTGCTGCGCTATACACCCAGCGACCCAAGTTCGGTTCTCGCTCACGGCCAACACCGATGACGAATAATTGCACCAGTCCCGGGCCTCCCCTCGGTCGACTCCGCTTCAAACGAGTTACCTGGTGCGGTGTGTAGTAAACATCGCCACTGGGGAGACAAAGGCGGCCGGGCGTGGTGCTGGCCACCCACCCCCTCGTGTACCGGCCTTCATCGGTGTTCGCTAACAGCACTTGCCCCACCGGTCTGTTAAGTTTATACGGGGGAGCTTTGTCTTTGTGCCGCACGGCGGTGTGTCCTGCTGTGTCCATCCTCACGGCTTTCCCTCCGCGTGTGTTGCACCACGGGTCACAGGGGTCACGGGATGCAGTTTCGTGTGCTCCAGTCACTACATTGCAGCAGTACCGTGCCACCGTACTGCTTCTGACAGTACGATCGCGCTCAGTACTACTGGTACGTGGTGCAGTACTGTAGTATTGTATTACCCCGGTATACTGTATAAGTACTCGTGGTAATGTGTATTCTGTAGATTTTACTCTAGATGCAATGTTTCATATATGAGCACGAGTATATTCCGTCGTGTATACTGTATTTTAGTGTATACTGTAGATGTAGTGTATACTGTAGATGTACTCTCGTGTTTACTTTAAGCGTAGTGTATATTGTAGGTGTAGCGTAGGTGTGGTGTATACTGTAGGTGTACTCTAGTGTATACTGTAGGTTATTGCATACTGTAGTGTATACTGTGGATGTATTGTATACTATAGGTTATTGCATACTGTAGTGTATACTGTATATGCACTGTGTATTGTAGTGAGACAGAGTTGAATGGCTCAGTAATGGTAAAGCGACTCGGGTTTTTATACCACAGCGAGAGGCGCTCGGCTCTCTACAGCAAATAAACAAAAACACCTTCACCGGGCCTGCTGTGTCACGGGGGTGTGTGTGTGTGCTGTGTCACGGGTGTATGTGTGCTGTGTGTGTGTGCTGTGTCACGGGTGTGTGTGTTGTGTCACGGGTGTGTGTGCTGGGTGTGTGTGCTGTGTGTGGGTGTGTGTGCTGTGTGTGTGTGCTGTGTCACGTGTGTGTGTGCTGTGTCACGGGTGTGTGTGTGTGTGTTGTGTCACTGGTGTGTGTGTTTGTGTGTGTCACGTGTGTGTGTGTGCTGTGTCACGGGTGTGTGTGTGTGCTGTGTCACGTGTGTGTGTGTTTGTGTGTGTCACGCGTGTGTGTGTGCTGTGTCACGTGTGTGTGCTGTGTCACGTGTGTGTGCTGTGTCACGTGTGTGTGCTGTGTCACGTGTGTGTGCTGTGTCACGTGTGTGTGTCACGTGTGTCACGTCGTGTGTGTCACGTGTGTGTGTCACGTGTGTGTGTCACGTGTGTCATGTGTGTGTGTCACGTGTCACGTGTGTGTGCTGTGTCACGTGTGTGTGTGTGCTGTGTCACGGGTGTGTGTGTTTTGTGTCACGGGTGTGTGTGCTATGTCACGTGTGTGTGTGCTGTGCCACATGTGTGTGTGTGTGTGCTGTGTCACGTGTGTGTGTGTTGTGTCACGGGTGTGTGTGCTGTGTCACGGGTGTGTGTGTGTGCTGTGTCACGTGTGTATGTGTTGTGTCACGGGTGTGTGTGTGTGCTGTGTCACGGGTGTGTGTTGTGTCACGTGTGTGTGTGCTGTGTCACGGGTGTGTGTGTTGTGTAACGTGTGTGTGTGTGTTGTGTCACGTGTGTGTGTGTTGTGTCACGGGTGTGTGTGTGTGCTGTGTCACGGGTGTGTGTGTGTGCTGTGTAACGTGTGTGTGTGCTGTGTAACGTGTGTGTGTTGTGTCACGTGTGTGTGTGCTGTGTCACGTGTGTGTGTGCTGTGTCACGTGTGTGTGCTGTGTCACGTGTGTGTGTTGTGTCACGGGTGTGTGTGTGCTGTGTCACGGGTGTGTGTTGTGTCACGTGTGTGTGTGTTGTGTCACGGGTGTGTGTGTGTGTGCTGTGTCACGGGTGTGTGTGTGCTGTGTCACGTGTGTGTGTGCTGTGTCACGTGTGTGTGTTGTGTTGTGTCACGGGTGTGTGTTGTGTCACGTGTGTTGTGTCACGTGTGTGTGTTGTGTCACGTGTGTGTGTGTTGTGTCACGTGTGTGTGTGTTGTGTCACGTGTGTGTGTGTGTGTTGTGTCACGGGTGTGTGTGTGTTGTGTCACGGGTGTGTGTGTGTTGTGTCACAGGTGTGTGCTGTGTCACGGGTGTGTGTGCTGTCCTGGGTGTATGTGTGTGCTGTGATGTAATCGAGGGTGATGTTCTTTCTGCGTACGGTTCATGTAGAGCAGTAGCTGTAATTTTACATTGAGCTGGGTTTGAGTCGGATAATTAGTGCCGGAGTGGCTGAATCGTTGTTGCTGTAATGATGCCTCCTCCTTCGTACGTTATTTGTAAATGGGGCATGCAGTCGCTATGTGTGCGCCATGCTTCTGCATGGTGGTGGACCACCGTACACTGACCGGAGACTTTTTAATCGATTATTTGTTCATCATCATCATGATCAAGTGTCTGTATCTGCTGCTGCTGCTGCAATTGTTTGTGCCATTATCTGCACGTAAGATGGGTGCGGTGTTGTAAACATCGCTAGCACTGGGAAGACAAAGGCGGTCGGGCGTGGTGTTGGCCACCCGCCCCCTCGCGTGCCGTGCCGGCCTTCATAGGTCAACAGCACTTGCCCCTACAGTCTGCTGAGGCGACAACGGGGGGATCTTGGCCTTTGAGCGCTCGCTATTTCACGGCCGCCTCATCCAGCAGTGGATGGCGCATGGCTGCACCCCCCCCACACTCACTCACACAACCGCGCATGCGCAGGGCGCGCCACCGTCACGTGACAACACACGTGCCACACTGTACGCACTGTAGAGTTAGTGGACCTCTCACGTTTTCGTTCCAGGGCGACCCCGCGTGGCCCCGAGACCCCCTTACGGGGGGCTACTACCGGTGCGTTTAGACCCCGGCTACGACTCCTCGGGGGTTCCGTCCAGACCCAAAATCCCCTCCCCCCAAAGGAGCCCCGAGTGCTGCCGATGCCGCTACCAGGCGATATCTCCCGCCGGGCGGGGAGGGGGGCGGGGACGGGGACCCCGGGGCAGCCGCGTCTCCCTCCCCGGGGAGGGAAGATGCAGCGGGGACGGGGACGAGGCTTATCGGCCGCCCCCGGGACCCTCTCGGCCCCGCAGCGAAGGCCCCGCAACGCGGGCCCCGACCCTCACAAAAGCCCGGGGAAGCGGACAGTGGCGCAGGGCTCCAAGGGGCAACCTCGAGTTGTGGCGCTGGCAGTCCCGGAAGGGGGCGAAGATGAGAAAGATGATAGTAGTGCAGGGAGCGACGCGGAGCTTGCTGGCGACGCCGATCAGGACGGCGGCTGGAAGCGAGGTGAGGTGGTGCGACGCGGGGGGTGGGACCCGGGCGAGGTGAGGAGTCGCGTGCTGACTTCGTTTGTCGTCGGGTTATTAAACGACATAATGTATTGTTAACGGAAGCAGGCGGCGGTAATGAAATGTTCACCCATGAAGACACGGGTTTCCACGTGAGAACGCACAAACGGCAAGGCGGCCTCAATCACCGCGTGGTTCATATTTGCCCGAATTGCTCGGGTAAAACGGTGCAGCCCTGCAAATGCCCGCTCACGCCAACCTGCTGGTGGATGGGACCTCCAATAAAGGGAGCTCTAAAGGGCATTGGAAGCTGCAGGCTTTTCTATGCGGTCGGCAATATCGTTCTTTCACCAGTTTCAAAAACGCGAATACCGGTAGTACAAAATACATCGATTTAACCACTCTTAATCCAGAGTGTCTCTCTGTGTGTGCGCGAGCAGAGATGGCCGAGATGTCCTTGGAGGAGCTGCAGCGTGTGAGGGAGACCATGGGCACCAAGGAGTTCGAGCGCAGAAGTGCAGGGGCACGGGCAGCAGCATCAGCAGCGGGGGGCGCGCCCAAGAGAAGCGACAAGAACCGGTCCCTCACCTATACCTCCTCACCACCACGCCGCACCTCATCAACTCCACACCACTGTCACACCTCATCAACATCTCCCCAACACCTCAGCACGTCTATCTCACCATGACCCCGCACTGTCGTGTCGACCTCACCAATGCTTTACCAGCGTGTCCACCTCACCACATCCACCTCATTCTGTCTCAGTAAGTTGTGTTCTGCCTCTCACAGGCCCGTGGAGATGTCCTCCAAGTGCCCTGTGGGTCGCCTGCGCCAGGTGATCTCAATGAAGAAGCAGGTGAAGCCACACGTCCCTCCCTTTCCCCCTCCTAATGGCCACCCATGGATACCCCTCCCACGCTGCTTTTCGTCTTCCCCCCATGCTCACACTGGGTGACAATAGTCGTATGATGTAGGGTGATAGTGACAGCCCAGTCGTATCGCGTTCACCCTTGTTGCAGAGGTTTGTGGCCAGGCTGCCCTGGTTATTACTCCGGTGTGTGTATATACCATATTAACCATAACATTATATGCACCATTTGCTTCATAGTGGGCATTAAAGATCTCGTGTTTTCATTTGAAGAAGAGTAGGCCATTGTGTGCCAGCATCATTGTCCAAATCTGCTAAATTTCAAAAATGACACCCCAAATTACTTAATTGGGAAACGCATCGTGACATCGCTCCGTTATGAAAAGAGCCCTGGGACTCGGTGAGGCTTTTCTCGGTGAACAAGTGCAATAAATCCGTATAGTGTATAGATGCAACCATATCCCAATATACTGTTCTCAAGGGGTTTGTGTGTATATTTAAGAGAGAGGCAGTCATAGGTAGAGTGAACGTGGAGGTCTTGAGCCTCGACTTGAATTGTGAGGCTCTCATAGGTAAATGCGCATATTGATGAGCCATGCATCACCTGCTTCTCTCTGCTCACAGGTTGTACGGGACCCAAGGTTTGATGACCTGTCGGGGACATTCAGCGAGACCATCTTCCAGAGCACCTACAGCTTCCTGGACTCCATCCGTCAGCGTGAGAAGAAGGTGGGGGCAGCACCGTGATCGTTCCGTGTGGTGGGACATGTGAGAGACGCGCACACTGGATCGTGAGGTACGTGTGCTCGTGTGCATGCGTCTGCGTGCTTCAGGAGCTGGAGAAGGGGCTGAAGAAGGTGAAGTCGAGTGATCGGAAGCAGGAGATGGAGTACTTGCTGCAAAGGATGGTGAGGACGGGATGGGGTGATTAGCAACACGTCTTATGCCGCGCAAGCTTTACGGCTGCACATTCTCGCGCACCACTGTTTAAACCCTTCATCTGCTATTGTGGAGCATCGTGTGGTACACAGCCATAAACAGGCTGCTGTATGCAGCATTTAAACATTCCAGGAAATACTATTTTTTAAGTTTGGCCTGGTAACACCTTGCCTATTGGACTAGAGAAATGTATGCTTTATGCTGAGAGACAGACTCTTGCCTGCGTGGTCACCTGGACAGTGTGGTCGTGGCCATATTGTCGTGGTTGTATGGTTGTGGGTGTGCGGTAGCTTGACCTGTGTGGTTGCTTGAACAGTGTGGTTGTGGTTACGCGTGGAACAGGAAAACCAAGAGAGAGCAAAACAAAAGCAGGAGAAGCGGCGGGAGGCGGAGTTGAAGGCGAAGCGTGAAGCGCGGGAGCTCATGCTGCAGGGACACTCCCCATTCTACGCCAAGAAATGTGAGCCCCCCATCCTTTCTCCACCCACACACACGCCCCCTACCCCGTGTGGTGGCACAGAAGTGAACGCTAACCCCTTCTCCCCCCACTGTCCATGCCCCCCCCCCTCCCCCACCACAGCCGAGCTGCGCAAGCAGGAGTTGGCAGAGAAGTACCAGGCGCTCAAGAAGTCAGGGAAGGTCGACAAGTTCCTGAGCCAGAAGCGCAAGCGCAATGCACAGCGGGACCGTCGGAAGCTGCCCCCCCCCAAGAGGGAGCGGAGTTGCCCAGGAGGGCAGGAGTAGAGGGGGCAGAAGTAGAGGGGGCAGCAGAAGACAAGCAAGGGCACCAAGGGGACTGTTGGGGGTCGAGGTCACGAACGGGCACCTTGTTCATATTTTATATTTTTTTCTTTTATTGTGCATTATGGCTTAATTGCTAGAGGATTTGCGTGTAATTGAAATAAAGTGAGCATGTTGTCGAACTAGTCGGTCTGTTTCACTGCTGTTCATGATGGGGGGGGAGGTGGAGGAAAGTGTTGCTGCTGACCCATTGGAGGCCTGAAGTCAGATTAATGATTGTAGCCCCAACTTTCAATTAATAAGCTCCTCGTGAGTTGACAGTAAATCGTTATCGGCTATGATCAATCCACTGCTGGATGAAGGCATCCCCACTCTGTTGTTACCACCCACGATCCTGCGCTGCAACAATCCTTCCTGCATTTGCACATCCTCTCGAATGTGTTCCATTCCTCAGCTGTTACTCCGTTATTATTTTTGGCCATTGCCCATTGTCCCTTCCAGCTGTGACGTGTCCTGCCAAAACCTGACTTTTTGAACAGTTTGTGTGATGTCTCTAACCTGTGTACGTTCTCTAATCCACACGCTCCTCGTCTCATAGTTCCAAAGTGTGCATCTCTCCACGCTTCTCTGCGCACTTTTCATTTGTATTTTTCATGAATGGCCTTGACTGATCCATGTCACAGCAGGGAGTGTGTGGGCTGATTAAATACATCTAGACCAGTGGTTCTTAACCTTGTTGGAGGTACCGAACCCCACCAGTTTCATATGCGCATTCACCGAACCCCTCTTTAGTGAAAAATAAAATGTGATTTTTTTCAAATTCAAGACATAGATATGTTTTTTACTGGTACACAAAATGAGCCGTGCATGAACATTACCTTGTTCAAAGAATAAAACCAACACAATGCATAAACTCACAACAAATTACATACCTGGAAATCAATGTGACTTCTGCTGTTGCCTTTGAGAGATCAGTTCAGATATGCGTGGCTTCACCTTGGCAAGTGCCACTCTCATGTCATTTTCACAGCAAAGTCTGTTCCTTTTCTTCGTTTTTATGTCCAGCATCCTCGAAAAGGATTGCTCACAAAGATATGTTGTAACAAATGGTATAAAAAAATCCAGGGCTTTCTTAGCAATAACTGGATACTTGTTCATTTGTCGACACCAAAACGTTGAGAGCGTTGTTGTTCTGAAGAGTTGCTGTTGAACCTGGCTCTGCTGAATTTCAATGATTTCGTCGAGGAATTCATCATTGACATCTGCTGTTTCAACAGCAAACGTGAACGGCTGTCTCACCCATGCTGGATATGACTCTCTTGTAGGGAAATATCCGTCGAGAGACTGCAAGCTCATCTAAGTGCGTGGCAATTGTTTGCTTCAGTTCCGTGGATACAGAAATATCTCCGATTCCAGACACATCTTCGATCTTACTTGCACAGTCGTCCAGAAGCGGGAAGTTTGCGAAGTTATTGTTCTCTGTTCGTCGTTTCCATAACGGTAGCTTTTTTTGAAAAGCCTTCAGGTGTTCTTCCGCTTCCATGATATTGACTCCACCACCCTGCATCTGCTGATTGAGATGATTGAGAGCTGCGAATATATCAGCCATGTACGCTAAAATGAGAATGAACTCAGGATTTTTGAAGCAATCTGCATGGCAGTGTTGGTGCTCTTGCAAAAACAGGGCTAATTTCACACGCATGGCAAAAACACGATTCAGCACCTGTCCCCGGGATAACCACCGAATATTAGAATGGAGCAGAAGTACCTCAAATTCAGAGCCCATTTCTTTACACAGCTCACTGAAGATGCGGTGCCTCAGAGCACTTTTTCGCACATAGTTCACACATTCCACCACAGTTTTTAATACTTCTGCCATTTTTGGAGGTAAGGTTTTTGTTGCCAACGCATGCATGTGCAGAATACAATGCGTCACAATGATGTGTGGTGCATCGGCCTTTACTAGCGCACCAAAACCAGACTTTCTTCCCAGCATGACTGGAGCTCCGTCCGTACAAACTGCAGAAACCATATCCCATGAAAGATTGTTGTCTCTGAAGAAGTCATCCACAAGCTTCTTCACATCGGCTGCCTTCGTTGTTGTTGTAAGAGGCTTACAAAATAAAAACTCTTCTTTTATCATGTCGTCTTTCACATAGCGTACAAAAACAGCAAGCTGGCTTAGATCAGAAACGTCTGTGGTTTCGTCGAGTTGAAGGCTGAATTTTGCCGGGCTTGAAATCAGATCCGCGACTACTTGAGCCAAGATGTCTTTACTCATGTCTTCTATTCTGTCACTGACGGTGTCATTTGAAAGGGGAATTTGGGATAATTTACCTTCGGCCGCTGTTCCGAGTATCAGATTCGCCATCTTTAATGCAGCTGGTTTCACAAGTGTTTCACCAATGGTGTGTGGCTTGCCCTGCTTTGCGATCAGGTAAGCAACTTCGTACGATGCTGTCAGGATCGGTTTGTTAACAGGTACAAATCCAAGAGCAGGCAGAGTGGCCCTTTCATCGAATCTGGCTCTCTTCACCCTGAATTCAGCAAGTGTTGTGTTCTTGTATTCCCTGTCTCCATGCAGCTTCAAGAAGTGTTCCTTTAGTTTTGCCGGTGCAAGACTAGAGTTGCTCAACTTGGCGTTGCAAATCATGCAGATAGGACGCTCACTCCCATCACGTTCCGTGATACATGAGAATCCATGTTGTACATATTCGTCCGACCACTTTCTTCTTTTGCCCGACATAGTTAGTATGGATAAAATATTAAAGAAATCACACGACGTACGACAACAACAGTCACGTTGACTACTGAGTACGCACTAAATTCCCCGCAGCGCTGATTGGCCAAGCAGTGTAGCATGATCATCTGCAGCCAGTGATGGCCAAGCGGGCCGTGTGTGTCATCACAAATTTACACAATAATTCAAGTGTGTCCGGACCTCCGTGGCGGGGGCTCTGCCGAACCCCTGAGATCGACTCACCGAACCCCTGGGGTTCGATCGAACCCAGGTTAAGAACCACTGATCTAGACGCACATGGCTGTGTTTTCATGACCAAGTTCAGCTTTCCAAAAGCAATCGCACTTGTGCACCTGTGCTGTGATTTCGTACGCATTCAACAGCTGCCCTGGGGACTCGGTATACGCAGGCGCACGCTGCAGTTTTCCAGTTGTCTCTGACGGACGTCTCCAAATGTTGATTGTTGCGCGTGACCTGTTTTGCTCTGTTATCCCTAGCCCAAATGTACAGCCTTCTCTTTGAAGTGCGTGTAACGTTTCCTGCCGTTCGTTTCCATGGGACAGAATACCGATAGAAATTAAGCAAGACGAAAAAAGAGTTCTCTTAGGACACGATAGAGATTGGGGATTCATGAGTGTATTTATGATAATTGCTTTTTCATTAGGTAATGCAGGTGATGCCTCTGGGGCACCCGATACAATAGGGGTCCTTAGCTTTTGCTTAGCTTGCTTAGGCCTTACGCCACTAGGTGGCGGAGCTCCCTGGCCAGCCGATGAGAATTACAGAGCGTACGAGGAGGTGGACGTGAGATAAGGGGGGAAACGGGACATGGGGCCCCGGTGCCCTCTGTCTGGCACCACGAGCTCCACGAGGCGAACCGTGACCCCGAGGCGAATCGTGACCCCGACGCGGGGCACGCTGGGATGACGTCACGCCGTAGCCGAGCGGACGAGCCGGGAGCGCACAGAGCTCTGCGCGTTTCCATCGCTACCCCCGTTACCCTAGCAACTCCGTTACCCTAGCAACTCCGTTACCCTAGCCACCCAGTTACCGCGTTAACCCACCACCCTTACATCTCTCGATACCATCGCCATTGCGCGTGGCGTCTCGCGGGCCCCAAATCCTGCAGCCGCGGGTAGGCGCCGCGTGGGGGGTTGGAGGAGATGGTGGTGGTGATGTCGATGCTGATGGTATTGATGATGGTTGTTAGTAATGGTGGTGGTAATATTGCAGATGGTATTGATGACGGTAGTGATGGTTGTGATGATGGGTAGTGGTGGTTAGAGTGACGGTAATGATGTTGCTCGTTATGTTAGTAGTGATAATGTTCGTGATGGTGATCGTTGGTAGTGATGATGACGGTGGTGGTGGTGATGTTAGTGATGGTTGTTGATAATGAGCTGTGACGATGGTGATGGGAATTATGTTGGCAGTGATGATGTGGTGGTGGTGATGGTTTTCCCGTTAATGCGCCAACGAGCACCGCAGTGAGATCCGTTCACCTGCCCAATCACACGAAGTGCGTGCGGCGATGGCGATGATGATCGTGGTAATGATGTTGGTAGTGATGGTGCCGATGACGGTGATGTTGGTAGTTTATGGTGATGATAGTAAATGTGGTGGTGATAATTATATCCATTGTGCAGTCGTACTAGTAATATATAATTTCACCCGTAGATTAAATGTTGGTGGTGGCAGGCGATGGTGGTAAGTTGGTAATGGTCGTGATTCGATTGATCCGACAGGGCCCCTCTGCTGTGTCGCGGTGGTGGCCGTGCCCTGCCCCTCGTCATGAATGTTTCGTGTCTCAGTAATGTTGAGTGAGGCGAAGAGGGGCGACGTGGTGATGAGCATGGATGTTGATGGGACTGGGATAGCGATGTTGGATTTTTTTCTGGTGATGGGCGTTGGCTGACAACATTGAGTGGTGGTTCATAATGTTGAGTAATGGCAGGTGATAGAACGATGGTTGTGTTGGGTGTTGGCTCTTGATGATGAGTGATGCCTGGTGATATTGGTTGGCGAGGAGTTGATGTTGATGAGCTGGTAATGTTGGTAATATATGCTGATAAGCTGGTGGTAATGAGTGATGATGATTAGTGATGCTCGTGGGTGATGAATTGGCGATGGCCTGACGATGGTTAGTGGTACCTACCGAGTTTTCTGCCGAGCAGATTCTGAGTTGCTTGGTGTGGGGTTTTGGGCCCGGCCGCTTCCACGCATGGTTGTTACACAGCCACGGCAAGTTAAGGGCCAAGGTGACTTCCTGCTGCTCAAATGATCGTGGAGGCATCGACACTCATCTCCTGTTTACAGCCCTACATAACCAGTGCTGGAAATTCCACATTCCTAAGTCGGGGCCGAGTCTATGCTTAGGACAACCACTGTTGTCTCCCCCAAAAAAGTGGTCCTTACTTTATCGACCCCGTCGGAATGAAGGTTTGCCTCAACCAGGCCCAACCAAGATTTGAACTCGCAGCCTTCCGATTGCGCGAGGCGACCTTGAAAATAGATGCAGGGATGGAGCCTGGACACTGACGTCCATGGCGCTTGGGGAATGGCTCTGTTGAATTGGTGGTCTGGAAATTGAGCAACGTGCCGCTGCGTCCCTGTGAGTGCTGTGCCCACGTTGCCACCCCAGCTCTGTCGGCGCCGCTGAACGGAGTAGTGATTTAATGATTTTTCATCTCCTAATAAGAGCTCGGATTTCGGGGAGAAAGACGCGGCGAGCAGTGACACAAACGCACAGGAGACTGACACACGGGGTGGTTAGTGGCACAGGGATACAGGGTTAAACAAAGATAGATAGACGCAAGGACAGTGACACCAAAGGGTTGTGATACAGGGATAACAGGGACAGTGACACAGGGATACGGGCAGATACATAGGGATAGCCACAAGGACAGTGATATACCACGCGTAGTGACACATGGACATGGGGTAGTGGCACAGGGACACGTAGATTCAGGGCTAGGCACGACAGTGACACACGGGGTAGTGAAACAGTGGCACAGGGCTTATTGGATGTTCCCAGCAGCTGCAGCGCTGGGCGGGAAATGCAGAGTGGTCGTGAGGCAGAGAGCACCGTGCCCCCCGCGGGAGGGGGCTGTGGGGAGGGCGATTGGGGGGGGGCTTTGGGGGTGAGGGCCGGGGGGTGGAGGGGGCCTGGGGGGGAGGGCTTGGGGGGTAGGGGGATGGGGGAGAGGGATGGGGGGAGGGGGATGGTGGGGGGATGAGGGGGGGGGGATGGGGGAGAAAGGGATGGGAGAGGGATGGGAGAGGGATGGGAGAGGGATGGAGGGGGAGATGGGGGGGAGAGAGGGATGGGAGAGGGATGGGGGGAGGGGGAGATGAGGGATGGGAGAGGAATGGGGGGAGATGGGGGGATGGGAGTGGGATGGGGGATGGGGGGAGGGGGATGGGAGAGGGATGGGGGGAGGGGGAGATGGGGGATGGGAGAGGGATTGGGGGAGGGGGGGATGGGGGGAGGGGGATGGGAGAGGGATGGGGGGAGGGGGGGATGTTCTCGTGGAGGCTGCAGCCCGAGAGCGCTGCGATGACGTCACCGCGGCTGCGTTTCCCCCCTGCGCAAGGCGGGGTGCAGGTGTGCTGCTGGGCGTCGGGGTGCTTGTGGGGGTATGTGCTGTGTATCGAGGTGTGTGTCTTTGTATTGGTGTGTGGATGAGTGTGGGTGCCTATTAGGGTGTGTGGTTGTGGCTGTAGGGTTCGGTGGGGGTGGAGGTTTTGCGTTGTTGTGCACAGCGGTGGGAGGTTGTTGTGGTCGGCGTGGGGTGGGGGGGGTGATGTGCACGGCACGTGGGGTGGTGTGACTCCTGCAGCGGTGTGACTCCTGCAGCGGTGTGACTCCTGCAGCGGTGTGACTCCTGCAGCGGTGTGACTCCTGCAGCGGTGTGACTCCTGCAGCGGTGTGACTCCTGCAGCGGTGTGACTCCTGCAGCGGTGTGACTCCTGCAGCGGTGTGACTCCTGCAGCGGTGTGACTCCTGCAGCGGTGTGACTCCTGCAGCGGTGTGACTCCTGCAGCGGTGTGACTCCTGCAGCGGTGTGACTCCTGCAGCGGTGTGCGTGCGTTGTGGCCGGCGTGTCAGGTTTTAATAGGCATGTGTTGCGGTTGCCGTGCGATGGTAGTGGTGTTGTTGTTGTGTGCAGCGTGGGGCGTAGTGGTGGATACGAACCCGGCAACCCCAGTGCGGTTCCGGCTCACGGCGAGCATCGGTGACGGTTAATCTGAACCTGTCCTGGGCCTCCCCTAGATCAGCTCGGCCTTAAATGAGTACCTGGTTTGGCGTGTAAAACATAATCGCTGGGGAGAAAAAGGCGGCCGGGCGTGGTGTTGGCCACCCATCCCCTCGCGTGTCGTTCCGGCCTTCTCTTAGGTGCTTGCAAACAGCACTTGCCTTAAGAATCTGTTCAGGTTATAATGGGGGGTGGTCTTTGTCTCCGTGTGCGAGGTGCATGTGGGGGGGGGGGGGGGTAGCTGCCCCCTTGTGTTATCTCGCGTTGGGGGGGTGGGGATGATCATGTGGATGAGGGGCGGGGGGGGGGTCCTGTATGAGAGCCCCCCCCCCTCTAACCCCCACCCCATCACCCCTCACCATCACCCCCCACCATCACCCCCCACCATCACCCCCCACCCCATCACCCCCCACCATCACTCCCCACCATCACCCCCCACTCCCCCATCCCTCGCTTCCCGTTCCCCGTGACGCCACCCGCGCCGCATGCGCATCAGCTCCAACGCCCGGGCGAGACGCAGCAGCAGCAACGGGAGCAACGGGAGCAGATTCACCCCCCAGCAGCTTCATCGTTACCACCGTTACCATCGTTACCACCGTTATCAGCAGCCGCGTAACCAGTGCGCCTAGCTCTGTGTGCTCACGGGGTCCAGGGTTAACGTCACCGGTGTAACGGGAACCCGAGAAAACGGAACCGGAGTAACGTGGCCGTGGTTGGATGGATCCGCGGGCTCGGCTTTAGAAGGAGCGGCGATTTCTGTGCAGAGGTGGGGGCCGCCTTTGTCTCTCCTCGTCGCTCTCGTGCACGGCGCCTCCCTCCTCCGCGTTGCGTGGCTCTCGAGTCAGGGACGGGAGGAGGAGGAGGAGGCCGCGGCCTCTGCAGTAGAGCGCGCAGGGGCGGGCAGCGCCGCATCGGTGTGGGCAGTGCGGAGTGTGTAGGTGTCGTGTGTGTCCAGTGGGTGTAGTGTGTGTGTGTAGGTGTCGTGTGTGTCCAGTGGGTGTAGTGTGTGTGTGTAGGGTGTGTGTGTAGGTGTCGTGTGTGTCCAGTGGGTGTAGTGTGTGTGTCCAGTGTGTGTAGGTGTCGTGTGTGTCCAGTGGGTGTAGTGTGTGTGTGTCCAGTGTGTGTGGGCAGTGTGTGTGTCCAGGGTGTGTGTGTGTCCAGTGGGTGTAGTGTGTGTGTCCAGTGTGTCTGTCCAGTGTGTGTGTGTCCAGTGGGTGTGGTGTAGGTGTCGTGTGGGTGTAGTGGGTGTAGTGTGTGTGTCCAGTGTGTGTGGGCAGTGTGTGTGTGTCCAGTGGGTGTGGTGTAGGTGTCGTGTGGGTGTAGTGGGTGTAGTGTGTGTGTGTCCAGTGTGTGTGGGCAGTGTGTGTGTGTCCAGTGCGTGTAGTGTGTGTGTGTGTCCAGTGTGTGTGGGCAGTGTGTGTGTGCGTCCAGTGGGTGTAGTGTGTGTGTCCAGTGTGTGTGGGCAGTGCGGAGTGTGTAGGTGTCATGTGTGTGGGCAGTGTGTGTGTGTCCAGTGTGTGGGCAGTGTGTGTGTGTCCAGTGGGTGTGGTGTTTGTGTCGTGTGTGTCCAGTGTGTGCTGTGTGTGTGGGCGGTGTGTTGTGTAGGGTGTGTTGTGTGTGTGGGTGGTGTGTTGCTGCTTTGTACGTAGTGTTGAGTGTGTGTGTGTATTGTACGTAGTGTTCAGTGTGTGTGTGTATTGTACGTAGTGTTCAGTGTGTGTGTATTGTACGTAGTGATCAGTGTGTGTGTGTTGTGTGTATTGTGTTGTGTCCACGTTGTGAATATAGCGTGCGTGTTGTGTGTATTGTGTCCACGTTGTGAATATAGCGTGCGTGTTGTGTATTGTGTCACGTGTTCACGATGTGAATAAAGCGTGCGTGTTGTGTGTATTGTGTCACGTGTTCACGTTGTGAATAAATCGTGCGTGTTGTGTGTATTGTGTCACGTGTTCACGGGATGTAACTGACGAATGTGATTGGTTGCATCCACAACGCAGGGGTCCCGCGGACTGATCATCTGTGGTGTGCGATGGCTCTGGGGGGTGGAGTGCTGGGATGTGCTGTGCAGGGAGCCGGGGTGCAGGGAGCCGGGGTGCAGGGATGTGCTGTGCAGGGAGCCGGGGTGCAGAAGAGAACTCGGTGCAGGAGGTGGGATACATGGAAGTGGAGTGCCCCGTGGGAGGCGGGGTGCTGGGAAGTGGGGTGCAAGAGGAGGCAGGGTGCAGGGAGGCCGTGGCCCGGCTGGAGGTTGTTTCATCAGCATAAGCAGCGTCGTGACGCTTGGAAGACGCGCGCCTCTGAGCCGTGTGGGTTCGGGTTCGAGTTGGGGTCAGGGCTGTGAGTGGGAGTTGGATTCGGGTTATAGTGAGTGGCAGCGGGGGCTAGGGGTCATAGAGGTACTGTATATTACAAGTACTGTACAGTAGAGCCAGCGTTAGAGTTAGTGTTGACGGCTGTCGGGGTTTGTGGTCGGGTTAGAGGCAAATGTATGGCTCGAGATAGAATAAGAGATCGAGTCATGGTTAGATATAGTACAGCTGAATAATGTTGGCGTTAGGGTATAATTGGGATTATCGTACGGGTTATGGGTTATGGCAAGATATGGGGCTAGAGTATTGGTTAGAGATAGGATTAGAGTTCGAATCAGTGTTAGTGTTCTGCTTATGGCTCTGAGCGTCTTTCGCTAAAAAGAGCCGAGTGATGTCATGACCTTGGGGGGGGGGAGACGGGGGAGCACGTGGGCGGGGGATCGATGCTCGACGCGAGGAAGCGCCGATGGGGCTGGGAGAGCGGGGACAGCGCCCAGGAAGGGCGGCGGCTGCGGTCGATACTTGTGATGATGATGATGACTACTGATGGTGGTGCTGATGGTGGTCGTAGTGGTGATTGTGTTGGCGTGGGTGCTGGTGAATATGGTGGTGATGTGGGGAGCGGGAGTGTAGCGGTTAGCGCACTCCGTGCTACGAACCCGGCCACCCGAGTTCGATTCCCGTTGTCGGCCGTCACCAGTGATGATTATATTGTCTAAACCGGTCCTGGCATTCCCCTCGGTCGACTAAAATGAGTACCTAGTGCGGTGTGTAAACATTGGCACTCAGGAGACAAAGGTGGCCGGGTGTGGTTCTGGCCACCAACCCCCTCCGTGTGCCGTGCCGGCCTTTATAGGCGATCGCTAACAGCACTTGCCCCAAAAAGTCTGTTATGGCTATACGAGGGATCTTTGGCTTTGCTGGTTATTATTATTCCACTTATTTTCCCAGGAAAGTATCGTTGAGTCTCAAGACTCATTTTCAGGAAGGTCCTGAAAATTTTTTCGCAGGAGGGGCTGATGTTTTTGGTATTTGTAATGCCAGTTGAGTAATTTGCAGGTTTAATTTTCAGCATTGGGATATTTTGTCCAATAACAGTTAAATTGTGGTTTTGTTTTAGCTATGGGAAGAAACCAGAGAACCCAGAAACAACTCATTTAGAACAGGGGGAGCACATACAAACTCCACTCACTCAAACTCACACACACACCCGCGCGTGCACATACACGCACGCACGCACGCACTCACATAATCATTCAGACACTCATTGTAGCGCTCACCCACATACACACTCTGCAGAACAGGGAGTGATATATTTCAAACCCAGGCCATTCTTGTTGTGAGGCTCAAGTGTTGCCACCGTGCCACCCTGCTGCCCGTGATGTTACGGTAACGGTGGTGCCCTCGGTGCCGTGCAGTGCAGTGCAGCTGACTCCGAGGCCATGTCGACCGTGGTGTTGGTGCGCGAGGAGCGGCCCAGCCGCCTGTCGCAAGAGGAGATCCTGTCGGGCACGCGCACCGTAATGCAGGGGCTGGAGGCGCTGCGTGGGGAGCACACGCTGCTGCTGCACACGCTGCTGGAGGCGCTGGCACGTCCGCAACACGCTGCCACGGTGCGTGGGCACAACCACGATGAGGACGGAGATGAGGATGATGACGTCGTCACCGAGAAGACGCAGCTCGTCAAAAAGAGCCTCGACATGATCGACCTGGGGCTTGGGGAGGCGCAGGTGAGGGCTTGGGGGACAAGCGGCCGAGCGAGTGGGCGAATGGGCTGTGGAGTGAGCGGGCGGGTGAATGAGAGAATCTGCGAGTGGGCGGACGGGAGTGCAAGTTGACGAGTGGGCTATTGGGCTGGTGGACTGTGGGGTGAGCAGGTGGGCGTATGTTTGGGTGAGGGGGTGAGTAGGCAGGGGGAACTTAAAGATAGTTGGATTGGCTAGCAGGGCAGGCAAGCCTGACTCGGGCCGGCGACAGCTCGTGTTTCCAGAGTCTGCGCTCTCGAGCCTCTCCCGCTGCCCACCCCAGGTGATGATGGCGCTGACAAACCACCTGAACTCGATGGAGTCGGAGAAGCAGAAGCTGCGAGCGCAGGTGCGGCGCCTGTGCCAGGAGAACCAGTGGTTGCGCGACGAGCTGGCGGGCACGCAGCAGAAGCTGCAGCGCAGCGAGCAGGCCGTGGCACAGCTCGAGGAGGAGAAGAAGCACCTGGAGTTCATGAGCCAGATGCGCAAATACGACGATGACCTCTCTCCCTCGGTGAGCCTCACCACACCGTCCCTGCAACACCACCGTGGCTACATTACCCCCACCCACATCGTTACAGCCGCATTGGACACATAATTGCAGCCACATTGTTTTTCGGCCTCACCACTGCTGCTACACTATCCTGACCAAACCACCCGAGCTACGTCACACCTGTATTTGTGGATGTACGTGTGTCTGGGTTTGTCCGAGTATATGTGTATACAGGCGTGGTAGTGTAGCGATTAGTGTGCTGTGCTACCAACCATGCAACCTGAGTTGGATTCCCACTCACCGCCAACTTTAGGTGATCAATATCTGAAGTGGTCGTGGGCTTCCCCTAGCCTCAAATGAGTACCTGGTGCAATGTTTAAACATCTTCAGTGAGGCCGCAAAGGTGGCGAGCGTGGTGCTAGCCATACACCCATTCGTGTGCCGTGCCTGCTGACAGCATTTGTCCCAACAGTCTGTTTAAGATATCGGGGGATCTTGGCCTTTGTGTGTGCATTGCAGGACGACAAGGACTCCGTGTGCTCACGGGGAACTCTGGACGAGCTCTTCCGTGGGGAGGAGTCCCTCAGCGACCAAGGTGAGCTCACAAGCTCACCTCACTCGCATGCACGCGCGTGCACGTATGCATGCGTGCAACATGCATGCCTGTGTGTGTGTGCGTGCCCCTGCAGTGCACGTGAGCAGTGCGGCATCGGTGGGCGCGCTCCAGGCTGGTTACGAGATCCCGGCGCGGCTCAAGACACTACACAACCTGGTGATCCAGTACGCATCGCAGGGCCGCTATGAGGTGGCCGTACCGCTCTGCAAGCAGGCGCTCGAGGACCTGGAGAAGACGAGCGGCCACGACCACCCGGATGTGGCCACCATGCTCAACATCCTGGCGCTCGTCTACCGGTGAAGCACGACTCGTAACATGAACGCACGCACGCACGCACACGCCTCGTAACACGCACACACACGCACCGTGCTGTTGGTATATTTTGCCCATGTCGCCACCCAGGGATCAGAACATGTACAAGGAGGCTGCCAAGATGCTGAACGATGCCCTCGCCATCCGGGAAAAAAACCCTTGGAAAAGATCACCCAGCCGTGAGTACCATAGTCCACCACCACCACCCACAACCAAACAAAGACAAAGATCCCCCATGGAGCCTTACCAGATTTTTGGGGCAAATGTTGTTAGCAGGCACCTATGAAGGGCGGCACGGTACGCGAGATGGGTGGGTGGCCAGGACCAAACCTGGCCGCCATTGTCTCTCTAGTGGTGATGTTTATACACTGCACCAGGTACTCATTTTGAGGCTACGTGGACCTAGGGGAGGCCCAGGACCAGTTCAGATAATCGTCACTGGTGTTGGCCGTGAGCGGGAATTGAACTCAGGTCACCGGGTTCATAGCGCAGCATGTTAACCGCTGCACTACTGCTCCCATACACAGACTCCTTCTCACACGTACACGATCACATACGCACACACACGCACACACCATCACACACACAGGCCCCACCATACGCGCTCACGTGCTGTGGGCCCTGTGTCCCTGCAGGTGGCTGCCACTCTCAACAACCTGGCCGTGCTCTATGGCAAGCGCGGCAAGTACAAGGAGGCCGAGCCGCTCTGCAAGAAGGCCCTGGAGATCCGCGAGAAGGTGGGTGCATGCGTGCGTTTGTGCGAGTGTGTGCATGCGCGAGTCTGTACGTGTGCGAATGCTTGTGCGTTAATGTGTGCACGTGTGTGGGGAGCAGTGGCGTAGTGATAAGCAAGCTGCGCTGTGAACCTGGTGACTCGAGATTTATTTTCACTCACGGCCAACATCAGTGCTGGATATCCGAACCAGTCCTGCACACGTCCTGTCAGTCATCCCAGCCTCAACACGAGTGCCTGCTGTGGTGTGTGAAAGTCAGGGAGACGCAGGCGGCCCGGCACAGCGCTGGCCACACCCACCCCTCGTAGGTGCACCGTGCCGGCCTTCGTTGAAATTCGACAGCAGTTGTTCCAACAGTTTGCATGGGCTACATGGGGGACCGTTGTCTTTGTGTGTAGGCGCTGGGTAAGGACCACCCGGACGTGGCAAAGCAGCTGAACAACCTGGCGCTGCTGTGCCAGAATCAGAGCAAGTATGGAGAGGTGGAGCACTACTACCAGCGCGCGCTTGACATCTACGAGGGGCGGCTGGGCCCCGACGACCCCAATGTGGCCAAGACCAAGAACAACCTGGTGCGTGCGAGCGGGTACACGTGTGTGTGTGTGTGCTCGTGTGAGTACACGTGTGTGTGCCGTTGTGCGAGTACACGCGCGTGTGTGTGAGTACATGTGTATGTGTGTGTGCTGCAGGCATCCTGCTTCCTGAAGCAGGGAAAGTACAAGGCAGCGGAGGCGCTGTACAAGGAGATCCTCACTCGGGCTCACGAGCGCGAGTTCGGCGCCATTAACGGTAAGAGCCACGCCATGCTCGGTGAGGCTCGGAGTAGAGGTCGGGGTGAGGCTTGGGGTGAAGGCTAGGGTTAATCTGCATGGGTAGAGCTCAGTGGAAATGCTAGAGTGGGTGTAGCTGAGCGGTGGGAGCATTGTTTGGTTACGGGTTAGGGTTTGATTAGCGTAAAGGTTTGGTTAGGGTTGGGTGTAGTGCTGGTTGTGTGTGAGAAGTGAGAACGGCGGGTGTTGTGGTGTGCTCACTGTGGACGCCATGCTTGTGTTGGGTGGCGCTGCCCTGTCACTCCTGCAGGAGAAAACAAACCCATCTGGATGCACGCGGAGGAGCGCGAGGAGACCAAGGTGCGCAGCCAGACATGGCACAACACACACACACAGTGGCATAACACACACACAGCGGCACAACACACACATTGCAGCACAACACACACACATGATCGCTGCGACACATGGCACCGTGGGTCGTGTGCGCGCGTCTGTGTGGGGAACGGTGGCTTAGTGGTTTGTGCACTGCTCTACAAACCTGCCAATCCGAGTTCTATTTCTGCTCATAGCCAACACCAGTAATGGTTATTTGAATTGGTCCTGGGCCTCCTCTAGGTCAAATCGGCCTCAAATAAACACCTGGTGGGGTGTGTAAACATCCCCACTAGGGAGACAATGGCGGCCAGGCGTGGTACTGGCCACCCACAACCCTCGTTTGCCGTATCGGCCGTCATAGATGCTCGCTAACAGCACTTGCCCCAAAAGACTGTTCAGACTATTTGTGGGATCTTTGACTTTGTCTTTGTGTGTGTGTGGCTGGCGGTGCCGTGCGCCAGGGCAAGGGCTGGAATGCCGTGAAGGAAAACGGGTGGTACCGCACCTGCAGCATCAACAGGTGCATCCCACGCAACAGCCTTGGGCTCATTCGCATTACAATTTGGCTCGTTCAGAACGAGTGCAATCGAAGTGCAGTCACCTTCACTTCAGCTGACAGGACTGCACTTGATTGAGTTATAATTGACCCCAGGTCTGTTACACATTCTAACCTCAACTCCCTCACCTCGGCCTTTCACCTCTACTTGGTGGCAAGATGGCGTAGTGTTAACACTCGCAGCAAGAATCGCCTGGGTTAGATTTCTGCTGACGACCAATAACAGTGACGAATATCTGAACCAGTCCCGGGCCTCCCCTAGGTCATCTCAGCCTTTAATATTAGAGTACCTGTTGTGGTGTGGCCTCCCACCGCCTTGCATCCCATGCCAGCTTTCATAGGTGCTAGCAAACAGCACTTGCTCCATTATTCTGTTCAGGCTATACAGGAGATCGTTGACTTTATACTACTGGTGTGTGCGTGCGTACAGCCCAACTCTGGCCACGACTTTGAAGAACCTGGGAGCTCTCTACCGGCGGCAGGGGAAACTGGAGGCGGCTGAGACGCTCGAGGAGTTCGCCTCTCACTCGCGCAAACAGGTGAGCCCACCGGAACTCCCTGGAGATTAAACGGCTCGGGCAAGGGGTCGGGCAAGGGGTCTAGAGAGGGCTCTAGAGAGGGGTCGGGTAAGGGGACGAGAGAAAGGTTGAAAAAGAGGTCGAAAACGAGGTCAAGCGAGGGGTCAAGAGAGGAGTCACTCCCTCGCCTTTGGTTTCTGGCCGCCTCGTCATCTGTGAGTGCAATTGACATTGGGCTGTGAATTTATTTGAGGCGTGTGCGTAAGCGTGTGGGTGTGTGTGTGTGAATGGATGTACACGCGTGTTTGTGGTGGGGATGCGTGTGATCGTGTAACTGTGAGTACGCACACCTGTGCACGTGTGTTCGCGTGTGTGTGCGTGTATTTGTTGTCGCACACCGTGTGTATGTGTGCGAATGTGTACCTGTTGTCACGCACCCGTGCGCATGTGTGCACGTGTGTGCACGTGCTTGTTCGCTGCGATTGCTGCTTCCGCCGCTGCTGCTTCCGCCGCTGCTTCTGCCATTGCTGCTGCTGCTGCGGATGCTGCTGCTGCTGCGGATGCTGCACACAGGTGCTGGACTTTGTGCACCAGACCCGCGTGGCCGACATCCTCAACGAGCGCATGGTGAAGGCCGAGAAGCGGCAAAGCCGCGACGGGGCCCCTCCCCCTCCCTCCGACGTCATGAAGTACGAGAGCAGCTCCGAGGAGGTGTGCCACGCGGGGCGGGGGGGGGGCACTGGTCACGTGAGCTGAGGGAGAGGAAACGGGTCATGCAGGGGGAGGGTACCTTTGGCGTGGTGGATGATTCGCGTGGGGGAGGGACAGGGACTCCGCAGGTGTTGTGGGATCATGGATCTTGTTGGGGCACAGGTGCCATGCGAACGGAGGAGGGATGCACAGGTCATGTTGGGGGGGTCACACAGGAAGGGAGAGGGGTCATGTGGGCTGCTGCGATGGTGTTGGTGGAGCCACATTCTCTGTCTCTCCCCTCTCGTCTCCCTCTTCCCTCTCCCTTCCCAGGACTGAACCGTGGGGACACGCCGAGCTGACCGCCTTGTCGCAAAGGAACTTAGGATTCCTATAATTACTGTATAATGATAATTTGCTATAATGAATCAATGTTGTTTGTCTTATTTATGAAACACGTATGTATTGTCCAAAATGTGATGCACACGCACGCACACACGCGGTATCTACTTGGTGAATGTCGCTGTGACTGCCCGCGTCGCTGCTGTTTTGGTAGAGCTAGTGCTAGCGCTGTAGAGGTGGTGGTGAGTACTGAGTACCTGTGAGTACCTGTGTACCCGAGCTTGAGCTGTGATGCTGTCGCTGTGGGGTGGGTGACCGAGGCCCCGGGCTCCCATCCACGACCCTGGGGCGGCACGTGAGGAGTGCCCCGCTGCCCTTTCCCCTTTTTTGCCCTTTGGCAATGACTGTGCCCACTGCCCCCTATCCACTGCCTCGTGTGCCATGCTCCATCCACTTTTGCCCTATTCCTCCCATCCACCGCCCTTTGTTATCCGTTGACCCTTGCCCCGTCTCCCCTGCCCACTTGCCCTAGACGTGGGCTGCCGCACTGTCCCCGATCCCCTCCCCCCAAAGCGGTGATCACATGGCCGGGACCCACATCCCCCTTTCCAGTTCCCCGGTCTCCGAGCCAGCCTCCCATCCTTTTGTCTGCCCGAGCCAAGACTGTCCTCCCACCAACCCCCCTTTGCCATGCGGGCCAGTGCAGCCTCCGCCGGCCATCATAAAACGGCCCCTGCTGTACCGGCTCGATGCCATCGTGACACGCAGAAGTGATACTTGTGCTGCCCTCTCTCCCGAACTTAACCCTTTAGCCAATCTCCCAGACTGAGCCCCTGTGCCTCCCTGCAGAAGCCCTACGCCTGTATCGGTTCCCGTGGCCACGGACCGCCCCGTGCGTGCCGCATGGGGGCCGCGCGCTCTCCCCGTGAATAAAGAACCGAGCTGAGATTGCGTCTTGCGTATACTGAGTTGCGTGAGCAGAGGTCATGGGGGAGTCGTGGGGTCATGGTTTAGTCGTGTTGTCATGGGGGAGTCGTGGGGTCATGGGGGAGTCGTGTTGTCATTGGGGCGTTGTGGGGTCATGGATTAGTCGTGTTGTCATGGGGGAGTCGTGGGGTCATGGGGGAGTCGTGGGGTCATGGGGGAGTCGTGGGGTCATGGGGGAGTCGTGTTGTCATGGGGGCGTTGTGGGGTCATGGATTAGTCGTGTTGTCATGGGGGAGTCGTGGGGTCATGGATTAGTCGTGTTGTCATGGGGGAGTCGTGGGGTCATGGGGGAGTCGTGCAGTCATAGGGGATTTGTGGGGTCACATTGCACTTGGAGTCATAACGGTCGTGGGTTCACGAGGGATGAGGGGTCATTTGGGACGTGAGAACCTCCAAATAAAATTACAGCAAAAGCAACCACATTACAGAACTATAAAAACAGACCGCTCATATGTTGACAATTTTTTTTCAGATTTGTACTTCGAGGTGTGAATAGAATGAGTGGAAGTGGAACCTTGGACTCATTCTTCCAGTTTTAAACCAAAATGCAGAATTATTCACTTCTTCATAATAAAGGTTTTTGGGTTAGATCGCGTTTATTTATAAATGTGTCGTAACCCTCCACCACCCGACACGGCCAATCAGCAAAAAAGGTGTCACGTTGACAGACAAATAATTCACTACTTTAGCCCACCGGTGTGTTGAAGAGTAAATCCACATTTATAGTTTGAGTACGACGTTTCGCTGGTAAATACATCCAGCATCATCGGGCAATTCGCCAGAATGGTAAAGCCCTCGCTCCCGGTTTTATATAGAGCAGCAGGGTGACGTCGTCACTTAACTCATATCAGGTGCAGTGATTAGAGGCGGAGGGGGGTATTGTAATTATATAATCGATTAGTAATCAGTCATTGGTTATGATTAGGAATGAGTTGTAGATTAGTAATTCTTTAAATCAAAATGTAATGTGTATTATTTAATAATACGCTTCCAGGCCGCACTAAGCCTGTAGCTGTCAGAGCGATTAAAGTTATTCTTGTTCCTCTCAATTTCAATGGATTCTCTAATTAGTCTTTGCCAGAAAGAATTAGTTTTACACAACACTGCAACATTGTCTAGGGCTGCATGTGTCTTTCGCTGCTGCCTGTTAAGACGGCCACATTTATTAATTTGGAATTGGTGGCTTAAACCAGTGGTTCTGAACCTTTTTTGGCTGCTGTAGCTCTTGTTGAATTTTGTTTCAACCGATTAAACCCTTGCGTGACCCAACATGGTTCTGAGAAATCAATGTATGAATAATGAACATCAATATTTGAACCAATTGCCCATTTTGTGAGGTATCTTCGTAACTGCAAGCATGAAGTAATTTGTTCGCGCTCGCTGGTTACTCTGGTAAAGCACATTGTTTACGATCAATGAGTTTAGAAATGTCTTTCATATCGTTCTCGGTTACCATATGGATTGTAGATGTTTTATATCGGCAGATTCATACATGATTATTCACTAATGACTCGTATAATATAATTTCACAAATTTATAAATAACCTCATGTACCCCCTGGGACATTGCCACATACCCCCAGGGGTCCGCGTACCTCCGGTTGAGAACTACTGGCCTAAATGATTCAGATTAGTTGTTGAGCTGGTGGTTTGGACAAGGCTGAGAGCATTGTACATGCGACGTGGCAGTCGTGTGATGTGCAGGCGGGGCATACCCATGGGGGGGATCTACCGCATTTCTGGGAGGCTCAACCGTGAGCCATGGTGAAGCTGGTGGCTCATCCCCCCGTTGTTTAGCTCCGCCCACTAATCACATAGCCACGCCCACTCCGCCGCTAGCCCCGTGACATCACTTCACGTTTTTGACGTATGACGTCAACTGGTGTGAAAATTGCAGCATTGCCATTTCGCAAAAATATGTTGTCACGCTTCAGCGATTTTTTTCTTGCTGTGGTTTTCCCACCTGATGATGATTGCTTGTGTTGCAATCGAAACGTCGTGATTTGTTTTATTTTATTTTATTTCTAACTACATGACTTTACCGAAAGAACCAAAGAGTATATTGTCACGCGGTCGCACAATTGTTTAAATGTATTAGCAGGAAATACCAAGTGTTGCCCGGGTACTTGTGGATATATTTTATGAATGCATACCTGTCAACCCACATACGGTTTACCCGTAAATTGAGTGTTCAGGTCGATACGGCGTACAGCCGTTTCAATACGGGCAATGTTTCTTGTCTGTTTGTTTGTGTTTCTCCCCTGTGATGGGACTTTGTAAGATGAACATTACGATGTATAAGGGTACAGACAGGGTGACCAATAAGATCTGAATTGGTATGTAATAAGTCAGGCACTGATAAAGGGTTGACAGGTATGTGAATGTAGATTGGCTAAATCATTATATCCAGGAGGGAGTCAATGGCGTTCCAGCAAATGTTAAGATTTTTCTGTGCCATGGGGCCTGTAATAATTGTAATATAACGTGCCACAATGGGGTACGAAATTTTATAGTGAAGTTTCGATTTTAAGCTTTCGTGACTGCAGGGATTCATATTTTTGGTTCTTTCGGTAAAGTCACGTAGAAGGAAAATAATAAAAAATAAAACAAAATTCGCACGACGTTTCGATTGCAACACAAGTAATCATCATCAGGTGTGAATACCACAGCAATACATTTTTGAAAAAAGTGTCGTTTTTTGTGTTGCTATCGAAACGTCGTGAGAATAGTTTTATTTTTATTATTTTATTATTTCCCTTCTACGTGACTTTACCGAAAGAACCAAGAATATATAGCGAAGCTTTTTTTGAACCGTGAACGTAATGACGACGGGCGTGCTCACGAGGGGTTTACCGTGAATTAGAATCGCCACTACGGGGTGTTTTGGATGATGCAATCAACGGCAAATGTTTGATTAACTTGATGAGGAGGGGGTCATTATCAAACCTGTCAACCCATACGGTTTACCCCGTATTCTTGTACAGGGAGATTGAGTTTTCAGGTCCATATGACGCACAGCTGTTTCAATACGGACATCACAAAACTGTGTTGTCTATTTGTTTGTGTCTCCCTTGTGATGGTACTTTGTAGCATGAACGTTGAGATTTGTAAGGGCACGGGGTGATCAACAAGGTCTGAATTGGTCTGTAATAAGGTAGGTACTGATCAGGGGTTGACAGGTTTGCATTATGTAACTGTTAGATGTGCGGGGCCAGGTTCACACGTAGTGGGGATTGTGACGTCACCTGGAGCGTGTGGGGGGGGGGGGCTCCAGCACCCTCCTATATAAAGCGGAGTTTTAAAAGGTAACACCTGCCTAGTTTGGTCGCGATAGCTTTAACGGTGTGGATTTGTATTCGGAGCACACGCACTTTATTTTTTATATATAGTAATTGAAGATATAGAAAATAAACATAAGATAGCTCAGGGTGACGTAATCCATGTCATTGCATCAGTGACGTCGCCGCGAGCGTTTTGTCACCGTGCGAGTGACGTCGCCACGGAGGGTTGTACAATAACGAGTGACGCCATCGCAACAGTTGTCGCCAGCATCGTGACATCGTCGCGAGGCAACGTCAATGCGTGGGCGTCACACACGTAGACGACGACGACGCCCACCGCCGCCGCGCGGTCACCACGCTGCGGCTTCATCGCGAGGTCGTCGTGACAATGACGTCACAACTTCTTGTCGGTCAGGCTTCACGCGTGACGTCGCCCCGCGGCTCGCGTGACGTCGCCCCGCGGCTCGCGTGACGTCGCCCCGCGGCTCGCGTGACGTCGCCCCGCGGCTCGCGTGACGTCGCCCCGCGGCTCGCGTGACGTCGCCCCGCGGCTCGCGTGACGTCGCCCCGCGGCTCGCGTGACGTCGCCCCGCGGCTCGCGTGACGTCGCCCCGCGGCTCGCGTGACGTCGCCCCGCGGCTCGCGTGACGTCGCCCCGCGGCTCGCGTGACGTCGCCCCGCGGCTCGCGTGACGTCGCCCCGCGGCTCGCGTGACGTCGCCCCGCGGCTCGCGTGACGTCGCCCCGCGGCTCGCGTGACGTCGCCCCGTGTGTTGTGATCTCGCGGCTCCCCCAGGAAGATGGCGGCGCGTAGCGGCGAGGCCGAGGAGGCGGCGGCGGCGGCGGCGGCGTTGGCGGCCGAGAGCGCGGAGGAGGCGCGCGGGCTCGGCCCGGTCTCTGCGCGGGACCTGGCCCAGGTGACGACGCCTTATCCCGCGACCTTGGGGGGGGGGAGGGGGGGGGGAGCGGGGGGGAGGGGGGGGGAGCGGAGCGAGGGGAACCCCGTGCTCGCGAAGGCTTCGGACTTAGTGGAGGAAGGGACGGCGCCCGAGGCCCCCGAACGGGGAACGAGGAGTTGCGGGGCAAGGGATGGGGAGAGAGAGAGAGGGGGCACGGGGAGAGATGTCGGTGTCGTGGCGAGAGAGGGAGAGAGAGAGATGGGTCTTGTGGATTGATAAGTGTGGTGGGAGAAGGGCGCAGGGCCTTGGTACGGAGCCCAACTGTGGCCCAACCGAAATCGACATCAAACTGACGCCTCCCGAGAGGGATACTGGGACGGCTTTCGTGCAAAATAACGAGGGGCGCGACACAGACACACACACAGACAGCATCGATACAACAGTCGCTTCCTTGTCGCTCTTCTGTCGCTACTGCCACGGTTCCTGTGAACTTCACTGCTTGGTTTCCCCTCCCATGTCGAGGACGCGGGCCTACCCCAGATTGGTTCGTCTCAACCACAGCGTTCACCACCAACACCACCACCACCAACACTGCAGATGACAATAACCACACACGGCTGATGCAGGTCGCATCACTTTTTATTTCAGCTTACTTCCCGCTGCTCCACTTTGGAATTCCCTCCCCGCGTCTACTTCCTCCCAATCGCCTACAACAACAAACAATAATAACTTGTGCTCAATTCAATACAACTTTTGCTTTAATAGCGCTGTTGCTGACCGCTT